TGCTCAAATAAATTGGTTAGTCTCTAAGGTGCCACAAGTCCTCCTTTTCTTTTTGCGAATCCATATAAAATTTGCACATATTTTGATTGGTTCCCCTTCTCCTTGTACATTGCTTGTTGGCTCATGCTCCAATCTTGCAACTGGATCCGTACAGAAGGACCCTTATAGCCAGGTGGAGCCTCACTGAAGTCAGTGGATCTCTGCAGGGTTCCCAGTGTCCACATATATGCATCTGATTGCAGGACTTCAGCCAAAGATCAAGGCAGGGAGTACCTGTGTTTGCGGACAATGCCTACTACATTGTGGATGCTACCAGAATATAAAAGGATCCAGTACTTTTCCAGGAGCTGCAGTCACCCTTCACTTAGAAAGGACACCATCTTGTGTAAGTAGATTATGAGAATATGCTTCAGCTCTACTTACTAAAACAAATAAGCTTTTACTATTGTACTTTAAGAATGTTTTTTAGCGCTAGTGCAATGTCACTGTAGTGATCATAAGAAAAAAAGTGAGAATCTAGCTCCAACTAAAAAAACCCTTGACTTGAACCTAACTTCCATCACTGATCTCCACCCTGGCTCTCATTCCAGACACTACCCCCTATTTTAGAGTAAAAGAGAGACCACCAAGATACTTAAATAAGCACATCTCACGATCTTCTGCCAACCCATACTCTTCCCCAGCCCTCCTGTGTCACCATCCCTTGCTTTATGCCACGCCTAATTTACCTGCAAGCTCCTAGGGCAGGGACTGGCCATTTTGTTTCTCAAATGCCATGCACACCAAACTGTACATAAATGCTTCCAATCCAAATGCTACGGTCCAATCTTGCATTTTTCACTTGGGCAAAATCCCCCGGTTGAAAATGAAAAGTAGAACAAGTTGCTGCTACTCCACAAATAACAGCAAATGTGTGGAATAAGAAACAGAGAACCAAACGGTTTAAAAGACTTTGCGACTGCTGACTGTTCAACAGTAGTCAGACAGGGAATTAGCCTTTACACAGTGATTTTCTTGGTTAATATTTTGTAAAGTATGTTAACTATTCCTCTCAAACGCCTACGTTACGAAGAGGGTGAATAGTGGCATTAACCCCATTTTACAGATAGGGAAACCGAAGCCCAGAGGAGAAGTGTATTGCTCAAAGCCCACAGCAAGTCAGTAGTGGAGCTGGAATTAGAACACCTGGACACCTCACTCCACCCACATTCTATGCTGCCACTCCAGTTGCTGAAGCCTCTGTGAAAACTATCCACATTTTTATTGTAAGGTCTGGAAGCCAGGGCAAACCTAAGCGAAGTTCTGTTTCTAGCAGCTATTTTACTGAGACCACTACATTTTGGAAATTAATATATTAACAAAGTGTTCTGTTATTTTAACATGCTCCCCTCCCCCATCGCTTCGCTTATTAGTGGTTTCCAGATCAGGAACATAGCTTGCCATTTAGTCTGTCTTCACACTAACTAGATACCCACACACAGTTGGTGACATTAGTCTATCAGCGGAAAGCAGAACTTGTTTTCCAGTGGAATGATCTGTATAAATTTATAGTACAATGCACATTTAAAAAAAACTGTTACTGAGAATAGTGAAACAAGGGAATACACATACATATTATTGTCTCCTAGCAAATTTGATTTACTAATGTAGATAATTTCTCTTTGATTTTATTGTTCTCAACCATATGCTTGGCTTCCACTGCCTGGTAGAGTGCAGAATAATTTTGTTAAATTTATATGTATTGAAAGCAACTGGTTAGTTTGGTTGGAGCCAGAAGATAAAGACTAAAGTATATACTTGCATTTCAGTGCAGCCAGAGGGAGAAATGTCTAAAATGGCCAGAGCATGAAAAATAATTTAAGAGGAAGAGATTGGAGTAAACTATATTTAAGAGGAAAAATGAGACTACACTATGCCTGACCTTTGCCTGCTTTTGCAGTCTTCTCCCAACCTGTGCATCACAGAACAGCAGCCATACAAGAAGTGTAGTTCTTAGGCTCTATGGCACAATTACTTCTGGCTAAGAGTATTAGCCATCCCACAAGTGGTAGGAATTAGCTCTCTGTCCTCATTTCCGTCCCGCACCCCAGCAGCCAGATATAGCTGGAATCAGAAAGGAGCGCACACACACACAAAATCTAAAAGAGCGATGTATGAGCTGCACCCCACCAGGCATCGTGGCTGACGCATGGCTGTTGGCGCCCCTACTGGGACAGTCCATGTTTGTACATTATCCAATATAGAGCAGTGTTTTAAAGCTTCAACTGAGCCCACAAACTTTGTACAAATAGTTTTAGTTTTGGTGTGTCTACATAGTGAGATTTTAACCATGACTATTTAATGCAGGAGGAATGATGGGATGTCTGTGTGACAGATATTGCAATCCCATGCACTATCTTTGGAGACCATATTTTATTAAGGTTATGGTTAATGTATCACGGTGGGCCAGGAACTGTGTGCAACTCCAAGGAGGGTTATCACAGCTCTGAAAGGCGCTAAACACAGTGGGTCAGTGATTAAGGTGGCTCACTCAGGATGCAAACCCCACCAGAGAAGTAACACCCCCCCTAGGGAGGGTTGCATATCGTGGATTCTCAGACACAGACAAGGCATGTGGTATAAAAAGGCTGGGTTTAAACCGACTCAGGGGCCTTCTCTCTGACCCAGCACATGGACCTTCTGTCCAAGGGAAGCCCCCAATCCTTCTGGAAGGGTGGGGAAGATCTTGGCCTACTCCGGCCCCGTAACACTGAATGACTCTGGTAAGCTTTTAGCATGTATATAGGAACTTCCTCTTTTATGTTTTTTCTGTAATGCTTTAATGAACATGCTTGCTTAGAGCTGCGTGGCAACTGGAACCTGTTTCTAATATATTGTTCATAGCCCTTGGAGACAGAGCAATGCATGGGCCCTGGCCATTAGGCAGACCGGCTTGCTGGAGATACCACTGTGTAAGGCAGGGAGCTGTGCAGCCTTAAAACCCCTTGTCAAAAGAAAGTGCGAGAAAGGTGCCACCCCAGAGATAGGTAATGGCTGGAGTCCTGACACCTGACTGGGTGCTCCTGGAATGGACTACGGGGCAGATACAGGTGCAGTTACCGTAAAACTGTTTGTATTTAAGTTGGATGTATATTTGAATAAAGTGCCTGGATAGGGATAACAGTGCTGATATACCAACATGTTGGTCAAAGAGAGCTGAAGACCATTAATTCCCTCCCACACGATCTACTTGAGTGGACTCCCCCTCTTTCAGGTTTCACTTTTGCCAGTGCATGAAAATGAAGAAATACGAATAAATAATTGCAATGTTAAAGTTGCCTACTTTGTTGCTCTATCTACATTCTCTCCTCTCCCCCCCTTTCTCCCCTTTTCATCCTTTTAGTTATTAAGCAAAACCATCAAATTAACTTTATTGACAGAGAATGGATATTATAAAGGCTTGAGAGGAGAGACCTATTAAGTCACCTTCTCTAACTTTGCAATAGTTCAGCATTGTTCTCTCGTCTACAGTAGACTGGATAAAATCCTGGGGAATATAATTTTAAATGACAAGCAAGGGAGCTACCACCACTTCACTTGAGAGAGTAATTCCACAGTTTAATAGATCTCAGTTAATTTTTTCCTAGAATAAATTTAATCTCCTTCCTCCTATTTATAGCTCAGGGACTGAAATGAATCTTCAGGAGGGGCAAAGAGAAAATCAGGGGAGTAGCCATCAAAAAGGGGGATATGACAAGTAGGAAATTAACAGTTTTTTCCATTTTGATCCATATCAAAGTTTACTGTTTAAGTACTGTGCGCTCCTTTATCATATTACTACTTGAGAACAAATGCATGATCTAGATTTTATTCCATGTTTATTGTCTGGCTGGGTTTTTAACAGATGACTGTAAGGTATACAGTGCCAAAAGGTATGCATGATACTTTACAGATAAATGACAGTTCTCCTGCTGCCAAGGGGCTTATAATCTAACGGCCCAATCCTCCAAAATGCTGAGTGACCCCTGAAAGGTAAGGGAGCACCTTTAACTCCTATTAATACTAGTGGGAGATGAGGTTGCTTAGCACCTTGCAGGAGTTATTCAGATTTGGAAGATGCTTTGTACTTAAATATATAGCTAAATATACTGTATTTTAAGACTAACAAGTATGTATGCTAATCAGACACTTCCCTTCTAGTACTTGTCACTTGGGCTGATATAGACTTCTCCATTCTTACTTTCTTTGCAAAATAAAATTCTTAATATTTGAATGTTTGTTCATTATGTTGTAATGTAGTAGAAACATACTATTTAAATGATTGCAAATAAGCTTCAATATTTTCCCTATACAAGTTATAAACAATTCAAGTACTGAGTAAATCATAAAATGTGTTATTTGCATGTTGTACTTCCAAATACTTTGTTGCATCTATAAACAAACTGACTAGCCTCCTCATCCAACATTAAAATGTAAGTAATCAAATGTATAAGATCATATAAGTGGAAGAGAAGTTAGTAATCTGTTGCATTTAAGATGCAGATTGTTTTAACCCACTCACATTCCTTGATGCTAGGATTCATGAATACTTATTCAACAAGCACTGATTGTAGCAGACCTACCAACTTTAGAGAGTGCAAATGACTAAGATGCTTTTCTGTGATTGGATTATACACCACTAGCTTTGATATTTTGTTTATTTTAAGTTCTATCTTTCTCTCATACCAACAGATCAGGAGATAATTAGTCCCTTTAATAAGAGGATGTGTCTTTTACATATGAAAAGAAATAATTTAAAAATGGCAATGTGTTTTCCTGCCAAACAAGAAATACAAATATTTAACATGATCAATGAAGTTGCCAGTATTTCCCTCCAATATTTTACATCAAGTTGATAAAAAAATACTCAAAGCAATCTACACAAAGCTTCTGCTGCAAGAGCAGACCATTTTCATACGGTTTCTCTATTTGGAGAGATGGATTCCTTCTCTTTTGGCAACAGAAGTAGAGCTAAGCAGGCAGACGCTTTACAATGTATTTGTTTTAATGAAGAAATAGCCAACACGGTCATAGAAAAAAATGAGTTCGTTTCAAGTAAGGTGAGAACTGCTTCAACAAAGCCCTGCTCACATTGATATGAATATTGGTCCGCAACATATTACTTGACAATGGAACAGACTATCTTCATACATCTGTTTAAGGAAAATCTCCTCTTTTCTCCTCTCCATCAAAAGGAGGATTACTTGGCATAAGTGTTCACAAAAAAATACTGTTTGCTCTCTGGCCTGGAAGAGCAAAGTCCGCATTTATGGCATGGATTTGGAATAAGCCTCTACTTATCACTAAAGGAATATATGAAAGCAGAAAAATAAAGTGGGTTTTTCCTTATACTGTAAAGGAAATTTGTTCAAGAAAAAAAAGTGTCACAAGACAGCACAGCTTTGAGAGCTCACTTCATTGTCAAGCAACTTCCCATATGATCAGCACAAGTCTGCGATTCCATTAGGCTTTTTATTTTTTTTGAGGCACAGAAAAATTAAGGGTTTGAAAAGTAACGATGTGAGACCCACTGTACTGGTTGTGATAGCGCAAGCGAAGTAAATAAACCTTTTGTGAGGAAAGCTGACATTTCCACTGTGGAAAGCCCAAGTCTTCTAGACCCTTTGAAGTTCTATATTCAATAAAATGATGATTAAAAGCTGCCGAAGGATGGATCTTCCTATTTTGTTTTGTATGAATTATGATTTATCTAAATCAAAGACTAAAAATACTAATCTTTATTAAGAGAGTGTCAACTCAAGGCAATCTGCTGCCCTAGGCGACGCTTCAGTGCACTGCCTTCACGTCACTGAAATATGGCCTGGCCACTGCTCCATCATGACAGGGTGGTGGCCAGGCCAAATCTGAGAAAGTGGTATTGCAACCTAGGGCCACATCACTCAAATTTGGGCTGGCTCTCTCTTCTGTTATCATGGGGTCACAACGTCACTCAAATTTGGCCTGACTGTCCCCCATCATGACAGAGGAGCAGCTGGACTAAAATCTTCCTTTCTAGGCAGCTGCCCAGAAATCTGCCATCCCAGGCAGCTGCCTAGCTTGCCATACACAGAGCGGCCTCTGCTTATTAAAGTGGCAAAAATACAACGTTGATTTACTGCAAATATGGCTCAATTTAACCTTATTTTACAAATGTACTGGTATGCAGTACAACCAAATTAAAAAACCTATGCTTAATATTGCAAAGTGGAGTTAATGAGACATAATACAACATATTAAAACAGATGGTGAAACTATGCAGGATAAACTGCATGACCATATGCACTGTACAACTTTAAATCATTCTACTCTGAATTCATATTTTTGTGCTGTTAACTAAGATTTAAAAGCTTCACATGCTTTTTGTTTTTCCCCTCATGACATCAATTAAATATACAACTGAACTATGAACATGAAGTTCTAGTATATACAGACTAACATTCTAGCAATAAGAGGTACCTAAAGCCCAACTGAGGAATATTACAATAGATCAAATTATTTCAGTTGTTGTAAGCCATGAGCCACGCAAGCATCACAACAGCAACTCCACATACTGGCAGCATGATAAAATTCTTATATTTTTGCCACACCGATAGCTCAACTTCTACGTCATCCTTTCTTCTCTTGTTTTTTCGTCGTCCTTTTAACCTGTTCTCAAAAGCCTCTAGTTCAGCCTAGGTAGGACAGAAAACAAATAGTTGACATGTTTTCAGCATTAAAAACTTGGAAATAATACATTTATATTTTAAATGTCAATTTATGACAAGTCAGTGGCTTATGAAATAGATCTGTATACGACTGGGGGGTTGGTAACACCACCTACTATTCAGATTGCCCCAAACTTCCCCTTTTAAGACCTTGTTGTCAGTTGCTTATAACATAGCTAAAGTTTAACCATTAGGGCTGAACTTTTACATGCCAGATGTCTGCCTCATTAATTAATTAATTTTTATTATTATTTTGGAGAGGGAAAGGGGAATTTAAGCCAAAACTGTTCAGTCATTTCAGGGAAAGGAAAAATACATTTTGTCCAGATTAAAAAATTCTGGAGACCTCTTCTTTGAACAGCTCTAGAGCACAGACCTGATGTTTTATGGGGGTGACCTGTGTGTCAAGGATGTGCCTTTTGCCATCTCTGTAAAAGAACGCTCAAATTGCTCCAAATTATATATTTGGGAAAAAAAAATCCTTTGGAAAAAAAATCACAGTTCACACATGCTCAGTAGAGACTTTTCAGATTTTAATAGCTAAAAATCATTGAAGACTCCATCCTCGCCAAGTGCTGACTAGACTGCACATGCACCATCCCACAAAGCAACTGAGCATGCTTCCGACCAGGCAAACAGAGGTGAAGCCAGACTTTCCCTGTAATGGCTGCTCCAGGCCATGGTGGAGCTGGGCACCCAAACTGACAGCAGGAGGCCCATCTCTCCTATGTTCTCCGTGACCCCATTCCTGGCACCCCGGCAGCAAGAGGAGGACCAGCTGATTTGAATGCAAAGGGGACAAAAGCTGGACAGGGGGAAGGAAAGGAGTATATTGGGAAAAGGAATCTGAAACTGGAACTGGTTGGGTAAGAAAATTAGGACTAGGAGCCAGGGACGCAAATGAGCAATGGGGTGGGGAGATGATGAGATTAGAGAAGGGAGATCAGGATTCAGACCCAGGACGTGTGAAGGTGTGGGGAGGAAACAGGAGAGACCTGATAATGACCTGGACGCGGGAGAAAAACTGGGACTGGCTGGGCAAAAAGACAAGGAGAGTGGGAAGACAGGGACAAGGAGCCATAAAGGGGGTGAGGGGAAAGACAGATTGGATGAGGAGCCTGGGGAGGCAGACTAAGTCTATGAGCCAGTGGGAGGGCAGAGACACGTCAGACAAGGAGCAGGAAGAGAAAGGAGGGTTTCACGGTTAGGGGCAACTGAATGCTGCACTGGAGAACTGGATTCTATCCCTGCCTCTGCCACAAAATCCCTAGTAATGTAATGCTAGTCAAGCCCCTTAAACCAAAACTTTTCAGTTTTTCATAGGTGGCCACAAACTCCATTCCTCATTTTCTAGGTGTCCAATTTGATTCCCTGTGGTCTGATTTACAGAAGAAGTGCTGAGCACTTACAGTTGAAACTTAAGTCATCTGGAGCTGTGGTTTGAACAAGTGCTATATAATCCTAAGTCCTCTAAATAACTGGGTTGTACATGTCTAAAATGGGGCACTCAAAACTTAGTGGAAACTTGACCTTACTCTCTCTGTGCCTTGATTTCCCAATCTGTATGGGGACAGAGCCATCCCCTCACCTAGCAAGATGTTGTAAAGTTAAATTAACCAACGTGCTGTACACTTTGTAGCTTCTCTAGGCTGAGCTCATTGCCCTCTATCTCCCGCCCACAAGGTTTCTCTGCACAACCCTTCCATCACCCTCTATTTCAGGGACACCCTGAAACCCCCACCTCCACATTCCAGGACCTCTGCACCCCCCTTCCCCTCTCCAGCATACGCTGAGGCTCTGTGTACCCTCCATGTCCCTCTTCCCACACACTACTGTCCCCCATTTCCCTCCCATGCCAGGGGGTAGGTGTGCCCTTATTCTTCCCATGCCCTCATCCCCTCCATTACATGGTGTCTGTATCCTCCCCAGCCCCGCCCCACCTGTCAGGGATTTCATGCGACTCCCATTGCCCTCACGCCAGGGTCCCAGTTCCCATCCCTCCCACGATGCCAGGGGTTATGCACACTTGCCCTTTCCCTCCTGCCCCTCCACCATTCTTATTTATTTTATTTCTGGGAGATAAATCATTCATGGTGTCAAGTGTATTGGGAGGATCAGCAGAGCTGAGATGGGGTATTGTTATGCTGGAAAGTGTTAACGGGTTCTTTGATCTCTAAGCAAGGGTCCACAAACTTTTTGCTGCCATGACCTTGTTTTAATGAAGTATTTCCTGCCAGGACCCCCCAGACAACATGGAGGACACTATTCTGAAGAGCAAAATGGCATTCTCAGCCCAGTGGGGCCTTGCACACACTGTACGTTGAGGTCATGCCGATCCCTATTGTGTGGAGGACACCTTTTTCCTCTGCAGAATGTGACCTTGTACATATGGTGCATGTGAGGTCACGCTTCATCCATTGTTTTCTCACATTAACCATACACGCAAGGTCATGTTGTGCAAAGCAAAAGGACATCTTCCATATGTTAAGGTTCACCATGACCCCATCTGCTGATAGCCTGACCCTATTTGGGGCTGCATTCCACAGTTTGGAAACTGCTGCTCTGTAGACAACTGCAGACCTGGATGAAGCTGCTGGGCCTGCTAGCCAGATGCCAAAGGCTCCATATGTCCCCTATTTCCCCCTTCCAGTTTTTCTCTCACACACCAAAACCCACCAATAGGATCCTGTCCATTGATGCCTAAAATATTCCCATAAATGTTGCGATTTAGCAGATGTTGTGTTCAGAAGTTATCACATTACTGGGGCACTTCTCTGAGATGAGTGTGAACATTTGTCTACACGTGAAAATTAATTCAGAAAAAGGTAGTGTGTGAATTTAAAGCAAATTTACTATTCCTGATTAATTCTAGGAGTGGTGGAATGGTCTAATTCCAGAGGCAGAGTGGACTTGTTTATATATTAGAATTAGAAAAGGTACAGAGAAGAGCAAAAAAAAATAAAAATAAAAATAAAAATAAATAAAGGATAGGAACCAGCTTCCATATAAGGAGAGATTAAAAAGACTGCAACTTGGAAAAGAGATGACTAAGAGGTTTACATAAATCATGACTGGTGTTGAGTTAGCCAAAAAGGAAGTGTTATTTACTCCTTCATATAACACAAGAACCAGGGGTCACCCAATGAAATTAATAGGCAACAGGTTTAAAACAAACAAAAGGAAGTACTTCTTCACACAACACACAATCAATCTGAGGAGCTTGTTACCACGGGATATGGTAAAGGCCAAAATTATAACAGTATTCAAAAAAGAACTAGATAAGTTCATAGAGGATAGGTCATCAATGGTTATTAGCCAGGATGGGCAGGGATGGTGTCTCTAGTCTGTGTTGCCAGAATCTGGGAGTGGATGACGGGGGATGGATCACACAATGACTTCCTGTTCTGTTTATTCCCTCTGAAGTATCTGTCATTGGTCACTGTCTGAAGACAGGATAGTGGGCTAGACGGATCATTGGTCTGACCCAGTATGGCCATTCTTATGTTTCAAATTACCTTAAATCAGAATAATGGCATGGAGTTAATCAGGAATAGCTATTCTGGAATAGCTCCCTGTATAGCCAAGCCCTTAGACTTCACTGTGCTTAGCCAATTAACACTTATGAAGCACTGTGATTCTATAGTGATAGGCACCATAAAAAAGCCCACAAGGAAATTAATAATTTTATTGTCAGAGCTGGGTTTGACTAACGCACAGTAAATAAAGTCTACAGTCAAATCAGCAAGGGAGGTTAAAACAAAATATTGAATAGCAGCTGACTAAGTGAGCTCTATTCATCCTGTGTACTAAATGAGACAGGGGTCCTGTAGAAAAAAAATAGTATGTGATCATGTAATTAAAAATGGAATCATAATGCGCGCACACACGGGGGGCTGGGACAAATTAAGTTTGCATGAGCAACTATAAATCCTAACTTGTTAGGGCTTGACTTTTCACCCTTTCTAAAATGTTTTTAAAATCTTTTTGCATACATAAAAACATTTAATTACTATCATCAGCAGGGTTTGAACCCTGACCCTCCAAGACTGCAGCAAAAGACCACCACCACTTGCGCTTCAGAACTAAATACATTAACTGCCAGCTGCAGAAGTCTGTTAACGCAGAATGAGGGATGGACAGCTGGATCTACAGGGTTGGGCAGCCCAGCCTGGCATTGCCCCTACATGGAGGAAGAGAGCACTAAGAAACTCCGGCCCCATGTGGTGCCTCTGTGTTAGGAGAGGAAAGAAAGATGGGTTGCTGGATCTAGGTGCTGGGTCTAAGGGTGGTCTATGGTGAGGACAGGGAACCTGACCAGGCACTCTTCCCCCCGCCTCCACTGGGAAAATGGGGGATCCTCCCCCATGTGACGTCCTCAAAGGGGCTTGGGCACTGCGGCCATGTGTGGTACACAGACCAGCTCTCTCCTGCCCCATCTCTCTGCTGCTACAGTACAATCTGCTGCTACCACTATTTTGGCATCAGCTCAACCTTAGAATTTTTTTGTCCAGTTATCTTGGAAGGCTACCAAGATTTTCCTGGGGTATGTGAACAAGAGAAGAGCAATTGCAATTTTAAACAATTTCAAGCTCCAAAAGTGTGAGCAAGGTTTCACTGAAGAAAAAGAAAAGGCACTTCTGCAGCCTGAGTGCTATCAGGCCTGCTGCAAAATAATGGAGGTGCGAAGTTCTCAAATTAAGAATATTTTATAAGTGTAAAGTGTTAGAGGGGTTGCTACGTCAATATAGCTAATCAAGCATAGGCATTTATTTTAATAAAATATGTAACTTTTACCTTGTCAGAAGGAGAAAGCACAAACAGGGGATGTTTTATTGTACTACAAGGTCCCTAAGAAAATTGCAGCCTCCATTTAAATGCTTACAGGGTCTGTTTCTGCAACCAAAACTACATTTTCTTATTTTATAAAGGTTTGGCAAAATGTAAAAGAGCAATTGCATACAAAAATACTAATTTAATACAATACTTAAGATATTTTAACTCATGAAACATGAATAATGCGTTAATCATTTATACATGATTTTGCACATACTTATAGATGTTTGGTGATGTGGAAGAACACTTCGGCTTTACTATAATAAGTCACTCATAACACAGGCCTGAGTTCTTTGGGCCAGAATCCTTAGCTGGTGTGAAAAACCTTGGCCCTTAGCATCTGAAGACAATGTACTGCAAACCTTTAGCTATGCATAAATTAACAGATTTACCAAGAGAATTAAGGCCATGTCTACACTACAGTTTATGTCGGCATAACGTATCACTCGGGGATGTGAATAAATCAGCCCCCCGGAGCAATGTAAGTTACACTGACATAAGCACAGTGTGGACAGCACTATGCTGGTGGGAGAGCTTCTTTTGACAGCACAGCTTCTGCCACTCACAGGGGCTGGAGTAGTTAAGCTGACAGGAGAGCTCTCTCCCCCATCAGCTTAGAGTGGCTACACTGGAGAGCTTACAGTGGCGCAGCTGTAAACTCTCTAGTGTAGCCCTGCCCTAAGACTTGGGGAGAGGTGCTGGGGTCAGAGGAAGAAGGGTTGGTACCTGTTGCCTTCGCTTTTCTTCTTCAATAGCAGCTTTGGCTTCTGCCTCTTTTATCTGTTCAAACACATACAAAATAATGGGTAACTGACATTGTAAGTTACTGATTATAGTATAAATTCTGTTTTCTGATTTCTCACAGGATCATTTTGGCTTTTCACAGAATGAGACTCATTACAAAAATACCAAAAAAGTGTAAACTTCCTCCTGGGTGAGCTTCTAATCTACTACTTAGATTGCAAGATACTCAGGGCAGAAATTGCATTGTCATATATTGGGGAAGTATCTAGCACATAGCGGGGTGCCTTTGGTTTATAAATAATAATAGCATGCTGTGATAATTTGTGAATCCGTCTATACAATTTATTAATTGCGTTTGATACTGGGGGCTTTGTACATATCTGTGGCAGACTGCAAATTCCATTTTCAGCGTGCAGCCTTTTGCCTTCTCTATTACTTGTTTGCCTCCATGCTGGACTGAAAATTTCAAAGGCTGGTGGCAAAAGAACAACAGAGTTGTTAAAATATGATGCTCAGCTTTCCAAATGACAAAGATCAGGAGAGAGATTGCCTTGACTACAAAGTCAATTGGCAGGGCTCTCTGATCACCTGGGGATGCTGGCAGCAGGGTCACCTGACATAGGGAGCCAAAAGTTATAAAAATGGGGGGACTGGAGTTTTCTGGGCCCTTTGGCCATTTTGTCTCCAGCTAAAGAGGAGAGAGAAGCATCCCAGCATGTAGGTACCTGCAGGAGGTAGGGGCCCTGCCCAGTTCCCCCCACTCTCATGGGAAGGGTAAGCTATGAGAGGCATTGGGGTTAGGACATTTTTAAGTCTTCTAAATGATGAAATAAAAGAGAAATGACATTAGACTCTGGTAAAGTAGTAAATACTTTACAACTATGCTGTTTCCCCCTGAGAGAGTTCACTGATAAAGCAGAAGGCTCAAACCTTGAGGAGGGATTCTGTGAGAGGGTGTCTAAGTACAGGGGAGTCCGAATGGTCAGCCACGAATCTAAAGGGGCTAGGCTGCTGAACAGCAGGTTTCAGTCCTCAGGATGGTGAGACAAAGGATCAGAACCCTACAGAGTGTGCCTATGGACCCCGAGGTTAGGACAGTGACTGGACTCTGTTCAGGCCGAGAGGCTTAACACACCTGGGGATCCAGTGACCCAGAGGCTTGGACTCCCTTCACAGCAGTCTTGTGGGTGGCCACCAGGGGCACTCAACCAGATCTGACACATGCAACGTTCAGCAGCTCTAAGTTCCTCAAAGATGTACTGAGTTTCCTGTTACACATATACTTCTGGAACACCATTTCTCAGAATACTATAGTGTAAACAGTGAACTAGCAGCAAGTAGGAAAAATAAAACATTAAATATATATAAAATGAAACTATTCCTTGTACCTGAAATCAGCAAAAAAAAATCTCACTCACTAATGTGAAGTCAGGGTTTAGCTTTAGCTCTTGGCAGTGTTTCTTGAAAGCAACGGCATTTCTAGACCTTTAATATTTTTAGCTATTGTATTACTCTGATAAAGTTACATTCAAAATCTGCTTAATAACCTGAAAGCAAGCACCATTTAGATCCCAACATTAAACTTGAATAGATATTTCAATTATTTATTTGCATTCGGACAGTGACAATGTGCTAAACATTGTCCACATAGACAAGTCCCTGTCCCAAATAGCTCATAATCCAAGAAGAAATGTTGAAGACAAAGTGGAACTCTCAGAAATTTACACTATATAGTACACCATGTACATGCTCATCACTGAAGGCAATTTAATAAGCAGCCCAATAACCTTTGTAGATTTTCATGTACCCTTTTAAACTGTTGAGGCAGGAAGCTTAAAAAGCCACAAAAATGGCTTACAGAATTAAGAACGGCAACAAAATGCAAAGTGAAATAAAAAAGACTTTATTGGAAAAATATTTCAACCACATATACTTGTACCCAAAAAGTGTGGCGTGAATAAGTGTACAAATTCCAAGTGTCTGATATTTTACCGCCACCTATTGGTAAGGCATCAGCTCTGAAAGATGAGTTAGCCATCCATGATATAACACAGCTAACGGTATGAAAGAGAGCAGCAGACTACTGTGGTTGAACTTGAACCAGGGGGAGAGGATTAACCAAAATGATCAGTGTATGTTCCACTGAGAAAATGAGGTAGAGTCGGTAGAAAAAATGTTCTTAAAAAGAAAAGAATGTGCACTAAAAGAAATCTCAAACTACTCAGCAGTGCGCATTCATTAGGCACTATTATACTGGCTTGTACAGTTAAAATGTCAGTGATTTCTGGAAACTGATGGTCACCTTGTAACACTGCAAGATGGTTTCTTTTGTAAATGTCTGCAGTCTTAATCAAAATGCTGCTCAGTCTTGATATGCTGCTCTGAACTGTAATTATGTGGAGTGTACATAATAGGAGTTAATTCTAGTTTGTCATTATCAAGCCTTCACATGTTCCAGAATATTGCCTAATAATAAGCACTTGTATAACACTTTTCAACTTCAAAGCACAGAACACTCAATTCTGAGGCAGGTATTCAGTTATCCCATGCCCAACATGTCTGTGGCAACGCATGCAGTGAAACCTGGGAGTGCTTGGCTACTAGTCTTATGCTCTGTGCACTAGACAATTCTTCCCTGCGGATTACAACAAGATTGCAAAAAACAGCAGAGGGCGTACAGCCAGTTTATGCTGTCACTTGCTAGTGTTTAATTTTGAGTCTGAAAATCTCAGTTCTTAAACAGAAAAGGTCTAGTCTGAGACTGTTGAAATGACTCGTAAGATAACCGAAGTATTTTTCAGCTAAGCCATGGACATAAGTGGCCAGATTGCTTGTCGTCATCCGATTGCTGTTCAGCTGCTACTGAGTTAGTGGTTTCAGTCCAGTCTCTAGTGAACATGTGCCCACATCACTAAAATTACGATCACAAATTGTGGTCTTAGCAAAGGTGCCAAGGACTGAACAAATTCTTCTATTCCTCGTGACTGATTTCTAGAGCAAGGTGGAGGCATATTGATAGCATGAGAATGCTAGTATTACAACTACATGTGAGGACAAAGGATGTCAGTCTCCTTAGAAGTTGCAGTCACGCTGGCAATCTTTATCAAAACATTTTAATTGAAAAGCACCTGTAGCTAACAAGACTTGTTCAAAATCCTTCATTATACAGAGAATGGGCCAAACTCATCCATCATTTACACTTTCATAAACCCAGAATAATTTCACTGATTTCAGAGTTATTCCAGATTAAGGTCAGAATAAATGAGATCCCAGTTTAACCCAATGTATTTTCTACCGGCTATTGAGAAAGTTCTACGATTTCCCAAACAGCTATTCTAACTAATTGCAACAGGGTATATAGAAACCATATGGCTACCTTGCACTGCTTCTGACGAAGAGGGATAATTTTGGCCATTCATAGTTTCTGAGTTAAATTCATTCTCTGACATGACTGAAAATCAGTGGGTAACATACCTTGAGCAAGCAATGTTCCTGGGGGACAGTTAAGAGGTGCCCCAGAATCAGAGTTGAATAACTATATAGTTTGAGGATTTCAAGGGCACGTCCTGTTCCCATTCCACAAAAATACAAAACCCTCCCCTAACAATAGTATAAAAATGGGTCCTCCACAAGGTCAACTGTGTACAGACTGAAGCATTTTTCACTCCCCTCAAAGGCTTTGCCATAGTATAGGGCACAATTTAGCCCATGAGACAGGCTACGACACACGAGAAAAAATTACCGGAGTATTATTCTAGCATAACCCAAAAGTTCACTAACTCATACTTATGTTAAGTATTAGCATTGTGTCTACAAAAGAACTATTTTTCCACATTTAACCAAAACCAACAGTCTGAAGCAGCAGCTGTTAAACATGTACATTTGATTTGATTACATGATATTTCTTGCTGGTATTGTCTTGGAAAATAAAACTGTATTCATTTCTTTTTTTCTGAAGCAGTGAGAATATATTATAACCACAAGAGAGACATTACCTCAGATGCTTTCCGTTTCATTTCCTTACACAATGTGTCACATTCTAGTGAAACCTGGCCTTCTCGTACCTTGCTGCACTGTAATTCCTGTAGGTATGAAAAAACTTCAAATTTAAAAACCACTTCTCTACATAAAGTATACAGTTTATTAATTATCAACATAAAAGATATGACAGATTTCTATTTGATAAAACATGCTCTAAATGTGTTTTATAAAATGGAAAAAAGCTAATTAGAACATTTTCAAGTCTATAATTTTATTTTTGTAATTCAGTGAAGATCAAAGTATCAATACAATTAATACCATGCAAAGTGATTTTTTTTAATTAGTTATGTTTATATTTCACCATTTTCATTGTCTCCTCCACCCCGCACAGCCTCAGAGGTGGGTGGAGGCCTTTGTCTGGGCCAGCAAGGAAAAGAAAATCCTTGGCCCTTTTAAAGAATTACATCCTTAAGTGTAATGCAACTAGCACCTTGAACATTCAGGTATAGACTGGGGTGTGAAAGCATTTACTCCACTCCATTTGAGAGCAGAGTGAAAGCTCTCTCAATTTGACATTACAATCTTGGGTGTCATGGGTACACCCTGGGCTGGCATCAGACACTTATTGGGTTGTTTATTGAGCAGCAGACTTTGCAACAGGGTATCAGACTACCAGAAACCATAGCAGGTTCTAGCTAGGTTATTGCAGGGGTGAAATCTACCAGGGCTAATAAGGAGACAGAAGGGCAGATTCAGATGGGGACTTTGGTGTTTAGGGGTTTGTAATGGGTTAGGAGAGAGATCTGCCAACCTGAATCTCAGAGTGTCAAAGAAACCAATTAAGGGCTGACAAGGTAAGTCATTATACTAGGAGTGTTGGGAGGCTGGGATTTGGCCAACCAAAGCAGTATAAACTTGCTGCGCATGGAGGCTGCTGGTGCCAGGATGCTCTTCCCTCACTGGGAAAGAAATTACCTCAGAAAAGGAAGTTTCAGTTCACAGTGATGTCAAAGAAGCTGTATTTCTGAGGTTCTCCTATTGAACTTGGATCCCACTTGTTCATGACTGGAGTGGCTGGAATAGGGGCCAAAGGGGGTATCTCTATCAATGGTGGCATCCAAATGCAGAAAGGGGCATGGAGACCCATCAGGGAGGATATTCAGTGCCTTGTATGTACTAAACTCTTCCTATTTATTCTTTCCCTCACAGGAGTTGGTGACGGGATGTTTGGGCACAACACTGCATTTGACTCATAGGTAGGTGGCCGGTTCATGCTGGAAATTCACTGCTGGGCCTCAGTGGTGAGGCAACTCTGTGTTGGTCTGGGTGAAGGGGCATGCTCTGGTGCCAGCAGATGCCCTTTTATGTCTGTTGGCTAGGGAAAGGCCACATGAATGGATCAATCTACTACAACCTAATGATGATGCCAACATATTTGCATTCAGATTTACACAGAAACTTAGCTGTGTCAATGGATTTTTTATGTAATTAAATATGCACTTCCCTGATCTCTGGTCAGAAAAATGTACTTTGTTTCTTTTATCTGAAATAGTTTTGAGTGAGACTTATCATATACTAGTCTCCCAGTGGAGCTATAAAAATCTAAGTGTATTTGAAACAATTCACTGCAATATTACAATATTTGTAGGTTACAGAACAATTTTACATCTTCAATGAATACTTTGATAACAAGGGTAGGCTCCTCAGCTGACATAAGTGTTTTAGCTCCATTAAAATAATTGGATCTACTGTATACCAACTATTTACTCCAGTGATGATCGTGCCCTGTGGATGCAGAGATAAAGCAAAAAAGGAAGTTTACAGCTACAATTCTCTCAAAATTACAACATGGAATTTACCTTTTTCATTCTCTTGCATGGACATCTGAGTTTAACCTTCTGGTTGCAATTTTGAGGACAATCACCCGAATGGCAAATCTCTTTACATCGATGACCACAGGGCAACTGAGAAACAAAGAGACCGGTTCTCTGCAACTGGACTATAAAATGTTTCTATTTCAAACACAGCATTTAAACAGAAGTAAAGTCACGAAAGCGCAATTAATGTATCAGTTTCCCACGCATGTAGTAACTAACTACATGAAGCTGGGAATGGACAACAGAGGATGGATCACTTGATTACTTGCTCTGTTCATTCCCTCTGGGGCATCTCGCATTGGCCACTGTCGGAAGACAGGATATTGGGCTAGATGGACCTGTGGTCTGACCCAGCATGGCCCATTCTTAGGTTCTTAGCTTGTTCATTAATATTTGCTTTTTATTTATTCACAGCATTTTTAGTTCCTATTACTAGGAACTATGCAACGTGCAAAGTATGATTTCTCTTTATGAACTTCATTTTCACAGTTTGATTGAAAACAAGATCCAGTTATTTTAAATACAAATTTTCAGTAAGTACAATATCTCCTTTAAAATGACACACACAACAACAATATACAAGTCCAGCCATGTATATTTTGGAAGGAATAAGGTCTGGAAGAAGGGGAAAAGGAGGGAAAGAAAAAATTAGAAGCTGTTGTTCTGCATTCCATATCTTCAAGTTATATTTCAAATGGGCGAGAACAAAAACAGAAGGAAATGGAAGTTTCTACTATGACGTATTTTGAACCATAAACTGTACAATAAGGATACACTACATCAAAGGTTTTTTTAGCCTCCTTTCAAATTCAGAAAATCTTAAGTGTGAGGCTTTGAAGGACTATCCCATTTCTTGTCTTTGGGATATGGGGGACTACAAACTTTTTTCCTATTATAAGTAGAAATCCTTTAAATAAGACTACAAAAAAAAAACAATTCAACTGCTTTTTTAAAAAAAGATATTTTTATTATCCTATATGACAGACATTTTTTAATGTTAACTATGCCTGTTCTTGTAAGTGCTCATTGAAGATTTCACTAATTTCTTACAACAGTATGGTGATTATAATTAATTTAGGGATGCACCAAACACTGTATTAGATATAAAATGCCAGAGGACAGAGACATTTTTCATTTAAGGTAAAGAACTTAGCTTCACATAACCCTTTACATATCTATGAAAATACTTTTTTCACCCCTCAACTGCTAAACATGCTTTTAATAACCTAAGCTGCTACCTAAAGGTAGCACGTTTGATTAAGTGATTTATAAATGAACTTTAATTCCCAAAACTGTTCAAAAATTTTATCTGGAGATACTCATAGTTTAAAGTAAACTTTCAGTTGTAGTCAAGTGATTAATACACTCTGGAAAATGTCAAAGGGAGCCACAATTATTTTAATATTTAGAATGTGTGTTTTTCACATTTACTGGTAACTGTAAGTTTATAACATATTACATGAATAAATCCAGAAGAATTTAACATTACGTACTATTATAAAATAACCCAATGAAGTGCATATATATGTTAGTAAATTCAGATTCACAGACTTAAAAGTAGTATTAACTGATTTAGCCAAGAGTCTATAGATACAGAGCACATGCTTCAATCACAGAACTTGCATGATCTTTAGATAGAAAGTTTGTGCACATACCTGTTCCTACTATGTCTCAGACAAAATTTCTTTGTGTAAGTAGGTAGCCCTAGCAATGTCGATCACTATACTATTAATGTACCTATCTTTTTGAATGGAGTACAGTTGACATTATGCAACAGTGTTTGACTGTGTTTACCTGCTGGTGAGCATAAAATTTGTCTTTTACAGGTTCTGACAAAGTTTCCTTGCACTGCTCAGCAGTGCAAGAGTCTCAAGGAAGAGCAGAAGGAACTGTGTTTGCCTCCAAGACAGAGAAATAAAATGTCAAATTATATCTAACAAACACTGCATGGCACAGCAATATTTGTACCCCAATATTGCAGTTCTTACTCACGTAAATAGTTCTGAAGTGAGTGAGATTACACACAAGTGCTACAGGACCAAGCTCCAAGGCCTACAATGTTTTTCTTAAAGTCTCCCACTGTTGCACTGCCACCAGTGTAACATCAGGGTGGGACTGCTAGTGTAGACCACCTGCTGGCATTTCAATTAACATGAGCCGGGTTAGATAACAGTGGTAAAAAACCCTGTGCCTTCAATTTAAATTAGATCTCACTGTTGCTGCCGCCAAATTAGATCACCACTAGTGCAACTGTGGGAGAATTTTTTTTTAAAAAAAAGCTTAGTGTATATACTCAGATCAATCAAGAATGTAATGTCTACATTCCATTAGCTCCCTTTTACACTATGCAAAATCACACTCTCAGTAGTCCATAGCAACTAGACCAAATGCTGCACCTATCTGACTAGGTAGTTGATAGATGCCAAACATTTTAAAAAGAAAATCCTTTATGAAAAACACCAAAACCAAATAAACCAAAAGCTACAAGTATGAAAACACAAAATTCCAAAACTTCTTTCATCTGGGTGCCCAGTTCAAATCCTGTTCTCTGCTTCATAAGGAGTGGAAGAAGGGCTACTGCAGTTTGCTGCCGCAGCAGAGAGTGAGGCCACACCACCATGGTGCCCGCCCATGGATTAGCATACAGATCTAGATACTGGGAATTGAGGTGATCATTTTGGTTGGCTGATTGTAAAATTTTTCCTCAAGTGCATGATCTAACTATACTATGCATAGGTCAAGGTGGACAGTGGGAGGAAGCAGCTGGTTGTTTCCAACAGGGTCAGAGCACCTGAACTGTCAGAGCTGGATGAAGGGATTTTTAAAAGAACAAACAAAAAGGGAAATAATTTATCTTATATTATACTAAAAATAAATAAGATAAAGAAACTAGAGATAGAAAAGAACTAGTCCATCATGTGCATATCCCTGTCAGGGTCCTGTGTGTGTGAAAATCGGTAGTAATCTGACTGAAACAGTTACCATTTTTGGGTGTTCACTGGTTTCCATAGTTCTAGTGAACAGATGTCTGGTCTCTTAAACAAAACCACCACTCCTGAATGGCACTCTTTTTGGCAGCCTCAGAGGCAAAGTACAAATGGAAACAAAAATATTCCTTTCAACCCGAATTGTGGGCCCTCTAGTTTAAACGTTAAAAGACCTATTATGTGGGGTTATGTGGGAAAGCTTATATTCCTCCTGCCATACCTTGTTCTGTGTGGCTTTTATCCGCGGGAAATTATTTCACAAGTACTGCATTTACTTTTAAAAAAATTTACAGCAAGCTGCCTAAACTGTCAATATTTTATGTTACAACTCCAGTAATTAAACTATAGAAGGAGAAATTTTATAGCTGTACATCAGCAGGTAAAAGTTAGAGCTACTACAGGTTTTCAAGTATGACTTTTACCTTTACAGTGCTGGAACGTTAAAATAAACTATGCCAAATCACAGGTCACGTATTACTGTTAAATTGAAAACCAATCTCCTTTGTAATAGTAAATTCTGATTACAGAGAACACAGAAGAGTACAAAGAGTAATATGTTTAAGCAAAGATTGATATGGACATACAAACTTGGGAAAGTTTCTAAATTGTGAACGCTTCCCTTTTAGAATTGTCCTAAACATTTACAAAATGTGTTCTGCATAAGAATTTGAGTAGTCATTACTGATCTATAATTTCCTTCCTCAGGATATTTGGTTTTACTGCCAAATAAAAAAAGCACTTTAAAAATGTTTTAACTTTACTAGCATCTCTGGCAAATCAAAGCCTTTGCTATTCCCTAAAGCAGAAAGGACATCTGAAATAAGAGAGTACCATTTGTATCAGACTATGGAAGTCCTCTGAGTAGTTTGTATAACCATAGCCAAAACACAACTACGAAACTTGGCAAAACTTTTACAGTTACTGCTATATCTTTTAAGCCACCAGTCTACGTAATTAAGGGTCTTTCACAATTCCCAACAGTAATATCAGACTTACAATTCAAATATTGCATGATTCTGTCTATTACAAATTGCATCAATTCAAGTAAAAAAACAGTAGTGTCTAAAGGCTATGACTTAAGAAATAAAACAGTTTATTACATTTTAGAGAAGTAAATTTTTATTACTCTGGACTTCGGTAGAGGTTTCGTTACAAAGCAATGTGCAATGTGCAACAAGTAACAAGGTCACTAGGCTTTTCCATACTAACACGGAGCCAGTCACTGGCACTTATATGAAGATTTGCTCTCACAATAAAAAGGAAAATTACATTTGGATAAAAGAAAACAATCAAGTTAACATGGCACTGATTAGCTTTTTTTGACTTTGTCAAAACAGTATGTGAACTCATGGTGCAATGGTATTAATTACATATTATGGAGGCATTGTTTGCAGCACCATTGTTAAGGCTGAAGTGAGTTTCATCCCTGAAACTCTCACACTATCCTTCAAAGAAGCTTTCCATTTACCATTGGCCCTTTTTGTAAGCCTAAACCATTCAGCTCCCACTATCCATATCACCATTCTGACCTGTGGCTTGTCTATTAAAATTTCTGGTTTCTGAAAGATTTCTCTGCCATATTCAGTAGCTGATTGATCTGCATTATATTGTCAGTCTCTGATTTTCAAATTTACCTAAAATTCCTCTAATGGCTTTTGTGCCTGTCCAGGTCCTACTTCCATACATTAGAATATTTTCAACTTGGTTCTTTTTAAAACAAAACAAAAAAAAAAACCCCACAAACTTGACAGAGCTACTTTCAAAGCCTCCCACAGTGTGCAGTCCTATCTATATCCCCTAATCTTTGAACAAGTCACTTAATCCTTGCCAGAAGGGGGCCACAGTTAGCTTGGTCTTTTCAGACTGCAAAAGGTAAATATGTTCTGAGCCTGTTCCTTCGTATTTTGCACCTGTTTTACATATTAATATTTCCTTTAAGGTTGCAAGAGCTGCAGAAAGATTTTCTAGAAAATGGTAAGATATGACAGAGTGACAGGAATAAAAACAGACTAAGTTTTATTCAACTCCCATTTAAGTCAATGGCAGTCTTTTAATTAACTTTGCAGATTTGTGGCCTTCTCCAGTTCCAGTGAAGTAGATTGGAATAATCCAAGAAAGTTCTTAAAACAAAAAGAACAATTTTAAACTGGATCCTAAAATATGTGGGTTTTGAATTTTTAAGGTTGCAAGTTATGTGGTCTTGCTTTTTTTTGTGGGTTTTGCCTCTCTGTGTGTGTGTGTGAAGCTGGGTCATTGAAGTCAGAGAAGTGAGTTACAATAGTCAAGATGAGATATAGAGGAGGTTTCAGAAGAGGTGGAGTTGAGGCACTGGATTATTCAGTAAATGTTGCAGAGAGACAGGTACATTAGTAGACAGGAGGAGGAAATTTCAGAGCAAAGGACTCCAAGATTACAGAAAGTCAAATGAAAGAACTGAGTTAAGGAGGTAGATGGAGGGGATAAAACTGTGTTTGAAAATGCTCCTCTTGCCCCCAAGAAAGCACTTTCAGATACCTAGCTGAAGGAAATTGTGATAAATCTACTTATTTACTTGCTCAAGATAAGGAGAGACTGAACAGGGAAGAGTCATTAAAAGGCACAAACATGGGCTGAAAGCAGCAGAGGGAAGGAAGTAAGAGGAAAAATAATTCTGAGCCTGGAAGGCTGGTTATGTGTTTCTTGTGAGCCTGGAAATATTGGATGGGAGGATCAGAGCTGTGAAGAGGTTAGGCAGGAAGAGAGGGATTCTCAGTCTGGGGTTTATATATAGATGTATTGCGTTTCTGAGTAGGCTCGCTTGAGGGGAGCTGCGGGAATTTGGAGTCTGAGCTGGCAGGGTTGTGTGAAAGGAAATGGAGTTAACTGATGAATGAAGATTTAAGTGAACTGGTGGGCGTATGTAGGAGATAAAGGGAATTTGTGGGGCAGAGGTAGATTGGAGAGGGACAGCCTGAGGCTAGGAGAAAACAGTGAAAGTTCGGTAGAGGGATAAATATTGTCCTCCTGTCCCACCCCGCTACCCTTTAATGTAAAAATGCGTCCCAGTTTTTCACTCTCAAGTGGGGAAAAGATTGCCCCTTCTTCATACCCAACCTCCTCCTCCTATCTCCCAAGAGGATGGCTTTTCTGTAATCTCACTGACTGCAGTATCCTTATTTCCCTTCTTGAAAATCCTACCTGCATTTGGGAAGGGAAGGAAGAAATTGCTATTTGTAGCCCCTCCAGTTAATTTGGCACTAGCCAAAGAACAAGGATATGATAACCCAGAGAGAGGTGGTGGACAGAAAACAGAAAAGAATAAATTGCTTCCTGGGAATACCAAAGAAGAATCAAAGTAAGCATTAATTTACCAATACAGCTTACCTCTTTTGGACACTGATTTTTGCAGGAACTGAGAAGATCCTTTTCTTTTAAGTCAGCACAAGTTATTTTTCTATTAAAAAAGAGAAAATGTTTAACAAGGCCAAATTAAAACTAATTCAATCAAGTATAGTTATGAACACATTTAACTATATATTTTTGCGCGGCAAAGAGATAGTTTCAGCTGCCTGCATGTTGTACAAAGAGAAACTGTCTCAAATAAAAATTCTTTAAGATCAATTGACTTTATGGACAACTCAGATCACCACCATTATGCTGGCAATTTAATAACGCAATCAGCTTCTTCACTGTCAAAGCTTAAAGCAATTGTTGACGCAGCTGACTGAGAACATTTAAATTTAAAGTGCGAAGTGTTAACAAAAACAGGGAATTGTTCAAAGATATCCTGCTGGATACCCAAAACACTCAATTCAGCAGAGGTGGAAAAAAAGCCGTACTGGTTAAAAGGATACGTGGAAACAACGACACACACATGAAGCTAAAGGAATCAATGAAACATCAGTGGCCAAGAAAGTTAAAGGCATTTTAAAAAACATTAAGAACCAGAAAAGCCCTGGTCTGGTCTACGTCTATCACTAGATATAGACAGTGGAATAATAAATGTTGATGTAGAAAAGACAAATGTTTATCGATATTTTTGCTCTATACTTGGAATGAAGCAGGATGTTGTGGATGGAACAGAAAGTTTACCATCTGTAACAAAGAATAATGTGAGGTAGCATTTGTTAAAATTAAACATTTTCAAATCAACAGGCCCAGATAACTTACATCCAAGAGTTTTAAAGGAACTAATGGAGAAGCTCTCTGAATGGCTAGTTAATTTAACAAATCTTGGCAAATTGGGGCAATTACAAAGGAATGGAGGACTGCAAATGTAGTTCCAATATTTAAAAAGGGCAAAGAAGGATAACCCAAGGAACTACTGACTAGTTAGCCTGATGCTGATATCACGTAAAATAAAGTAATGCTTTATTGGGGATTCTGTTAACAAAGAATTAGAGGCTAAAAATATTAATTAATGCCAGTTAGCATGGTTTCATACAAGATATTTTTCTGATTATTATTTTTTTTGTAAACCACCCTTGGCCATAGGCTTGGTTGATACAGGCAGCTGTGTTGATACAGTGTATCTGGATTTCTCCAAGGCATTTGACTTAGTACCACATGACATTTTGATAAAACATTGCACTGTAGGGAATTAACACGGTATGCATTAGATAGATTAAAAACTGGCTTAGAGGGGTCCACCAGGAATTGATTCTTGGTACAACACTATATATTTTAATCAACAATCTAGAGGATGACATAAAAATCTCTGCTGATATTTGCAGATGACACAAAGATTGGTGGGGCAGTATATAACAGGTCACCACTAGAGGGATCTGAATTGCTTGATTAAATCATCACAATCCAACAGCCAAATGCAAATTAATATATCTTGGGAACCAAGAATGCAGGTTATACCACAGGACAGAAGATTGCCTTGGAAAGCAGTAACTCAGAGAAGGACTTAGAAGCATCATAGATAAATTGCCTCAAAATGATGTTTCAGTATAAGGCTATGGCAAAAAAAAAAAAAAAAAAAAAAAAGAATGCAATCTTTAGCTGGATTAAGAAAAGGGAATATCAATTAGAGTAGGAAAGTGATCTTGCCTCTGTACAAAGCATTGGTAAGACCAACATCAGAACTGAATATAATATCAAGAAGGTATGGAGATACTGGAGAGAGATCAAAGAAGGGGACACAAAAATGATCCGGGGGTTGAAAACAAACTTTATAATGTGAGGTTTGAAGAGCTCAGCTCACTATTGATTGGTGTCTTTAAAATGAGATTAGATATAGTTTTAAAAGTTATGTTTAATTCAGCTTCTGGGGAAAATTCTGCAGCTTGTATGCATGCACTTGGGCTGGGTAGTCGTGGTGATCTCCTTCTACCCTTGGTGTCTGAAACTGTGGGTTCCCTGTTCATCCCATTCCTTTCTGGGCCACAGAACAGGATTATCTGCATTGCCCTCATCATAACTGTAACATTTGCAGACTCTGCATTAATGTAATCACTATAATCAAATCTCAAGCTTCAGCTGGTCACTTGCAGAGGTCAGGAAAGATTTTTTTTTTTCCTCCAATGCACAATTGGCTAGATTTATTCTTCATTTCCCCCTCCATCCAGTTTTCCTCTGAAGCATCAAAGACTGGCCATAGCTGGAGAAGGGACATGCCAGATCAGTTCTCTGAGGTGGCACAGAGAATCCTTTGCAGGTGCTTTGCTGGTGTGTATTGCTCACCAACTTCTAGTTATACTGATCACCAGATTTGTGGTTGAGAAGGAATTTTCCCCCAGGTCAGACTGGCAGGTAGCTTAGAGGGTTTTCATCTTCCTCTGCAGCATAAGGTCATCCAATATTTTGAAAACAACTGGCTGAAGACCTTACTGGAACATTATTGTTGATTTTCAATAATGCTTGGAGCACTGAAGAAGTTGTTCTAGAAGACTGGGAAAAAAGCTTATATACCCATATTTAAAAAGGGTAAATGGGATGAGTTAGTTACAGGCCCATCAGCCTGACATCGATCCCACACAAAATAAATGGAATGGCTGCCATAGGATTCAATTACAGAAGAATTAGAGGGTTATATTAATGACAATCAGCAAAAGTTTATAGAAAACAGATCCTGTCAAATTAACATCAAGTTTGGTAGATAAAGTAACTAGTATTAATGTAACAGACTTCTGTAAGGCATTTGACTTGGATCACAAAACATTTTGATTAAAAAAACTTGAATACAAAATCAAGTAGGCACATGTTAAACGACTTGAGAACTGGCTAACTGGTAGGTCTCAAGGTGTAATTGTAAATGGGAAATTATCAATGAGTGGATAGGTTTCCAGGGTGGGGTCATAAGAAACACAAAAATGGCCATACTGGGTCACACCAAAGGTTCAGCTAGCCTAGTATCCTGTCTTCCGACAGTGGCCAACGCCAGGTGCCCCATAGGGAACAAACAGAAAGGTTATCATCAAGTGATCCATCCCCCATCGCTCATTCCCAGCTTCTAGCAAACAGAGGCTAGGAACACCATTCCCGCAGGGATTGGTACTTGGCCCCACACTATTTAATATTTTTATCAATGACAGAGAAAAAAATAATCAAAATAATAATTGATAAAGTTTGCAGATGTCAAAAGGTTGCGGGAGTAGTAAATAATAATGAAGAGGACAGGTCACTGACAGAAAGCAATCCAAATTGCTCTGTAAACTGGGCACAAGCAAACGTGTGTTTTAATGGAGCCTCATATAAAGTCCTATCTAGGAACAAAGAATACAAGGCCATACTAACAGGACAGGGGATGCTATCCTGGGAAACAGTAACTGAACAAAACCTGGGAGACTATGGTAGATAATCAGCTGAACCCAAGTGCAATTCCAGGGCAATGCTGTCACTTAAAGGCTTATGCAATCCTTGGATGTATAACAGGGGAATATCGAGTAAGAGTAGAGAGGACATATTTGAGTGCTACTCAAATTGTAGACGCAAAAACTAGACAGTAAGCCACAAGAGTGTTGATAAATAGGAGATGGTTCATGGAAGAGCCGCAAGAATGATTAAAGGATTGAAAAACATGCTTTATAGTGATAGTCTCCAGAAATTCAATCTATTTAGTTTAGCAAAGAGAAGGTTATGGTGTGACTTCATCACAGCCTATAAGTACCTATCATGGGGAACAAAAATTTGATAAAGAGATCTTCAATCTAGGAGTGAAACACATAACAAGATCCAGTAACTGGAAGTTGGAGAGACATATTCGGACTAGGAATAAAGGCACACATTTTTAACAATGAGGATAATTAACAATTTGAACAATCCACCACAGACATCATGGCTTCTCCACAACTGGCAATTTTAAAAATCAATGCTGGAAGTTTTTCTAAAATATAAACTCTAGTTTAAACGGTAATTCGAGAAAGTTCTATAACCTGTATTATGACTATAATCTATGAATTACAGAGTTTTAATTGAAAAGATCTTTACAGAACCTAGTAAGTCTGTGTACTACATTCATTCTAAAACTACCCAGGAGAATAAAGTCCATTTCTGGCATATGTTACCAAAAATTCAACTACATCCACAAACCAGTTATGCTCTTAACACTGTTGTAGAGTCTTAATATTTTAACTGGCAATAGTGAAACAGATCTGAATGGACAGAAAAAGAGATGGAGATTTTTTTTAGTGCTGCTTTTTCTGAGCCACCACCAATTGTGTAATCTTCAAATAAAAAATTAAAAGACCTGACCAAGAGACATTTTAAATGCCTCCTTCCAAGCAGTCATATTTCTGAATTCAAGCTTCCCCTTTATCTACTTACATGCATTCAATATACAGGTTTGTGAGTTTGCAGTGACACTTTATTTTAAGCATTTGGACACATGGTGGACATTGGTCAGGATGACAGGGCAAAATGCACGAGTGAGGGCAGCCTGGTGGTCGTGGCTTGGTACACGCCTCCTCACAGTGAGAACATTCTGGACTAGCCTAATAAAATACAAGAAAAATTATTGAACCAAACAGTTGTTTTGCTAAACATCATTTTAGTGAACTATTACATCTAGGGACAAATTTATGTAAAGAGGGAGCTTTGTTCTTCAATGAGATGTCTATCAAACTAAATACTAAAATATGTTTTTAATAGAATGGAAGGAATGCCTGCAATCGGTAGTCAAAGAGAGAGGCTCCTACGTTCCCTCCCAGACATAAAGAGGGCCACTTAAGGTTAATACTTTGAAAAACTGCCACTCAGCACTACTATATTAAGTTTGCATCATTAAAAGTAGTTAATCAGGAAATGCTAAAGTTAAGACAGCATATACAAAACTTTAACTCTGCACCCCCAGTGTATATTCATCATGATGCAGTAATCTTGTAACATACTACTTCTGAAATACATTATTTTTTCTACAACAGCTTTAAAATACACTTGTACTAATGTAAGTTTCATTATGGTCCAAAAACTACTGATTTAGTACCACGTTTTGAGGGCTGCTGAATACTGCCTCAACTATGTTACAAAGTTACAAAATCTACAAGAGCCCTAGTCAACAGGGCAGATCACATAGAGTTCGCGTTCCTTAGATGCTCATTTAGCCCTTGATTGTGCTATCAGATCCACAGGATGAGCAGATCTGACTGTACAGATGGGGCCTTAATGAGCACAGCAAAATATTTCTACACATGATCACACTCCAGTTCATAAGTTAACCAAATTAAAGAATTTCCTAAAGAATTAGGTTGTGCATTGCTCCTCCAGGAGGACTATCTTCAAGCCACATTTCAACTCCATAATGTTCTGACTGCAGGGCTGTTCAAAATAAGGTCATAAGATTTTTTCATTCATTCATTCATTCATTCAATAAGGAAAACGCCATTTCCCTCCAATCCCTCTCATTCTGCTCACACACGGTTGAGCTGTTTTCACTAACATTTAAAAGAAGTAGGCACCTCTGGGTGGTGACTAAGCATGGAAAGTGTCACCCCAAGAAGTGCACCTTCCAGTTACTCTTAACTTTCTGAAAACAGGTTGTAAGGTTGCATAACAGCCTTCTTTAATGATAGCAGGTTAACGAATAGAACAGATATTAGTACAGTGCTTTTCACCTGCAAAGTACTGAACAAACTTTAACTTGATGCAGGAAGGAGTCGTTGCTCAGAGATCAGAAAAATAAAACTAACCAGGGCTTTTATAATAAGTCTGTAGTTTTGTATCTGCCAAAGAGCAGAGAAAAAGTCCTAAAAGTAAGGGGTTAAAAACTTTATTTAAAAAAGTATTCAAAGCAAGCTTTACGATTTACTGATATTCTGCACTTTTTGCATTTCTCCCCCCTCAAACAGCAGTTTGAACAGCATTGGGATGGAAACCTACTATATAGCAGGCTGAAAAATTAGTACATCAGGATTATTGTATGATTAAAGTATGCATTTCAGAAAAAGGACAAAGACTCAATTCCACACGACATGGAGAATAATCTTTAAAAGGTTAATTTTTTTTTGTCTGTATTGTAGTGAGGTTTAAATTTATTCCAATAGGGTTATTTACTTAGCAAATTCTAATCCACGTTAGCACAGAGTCAAGGAAACAAGCACTATTTCCTTCAGTGGTTAATATAAATCTCATTACTGAACAGATAGAGATGGGCACATAAAGCAACAGCTTTACTTTCATTCATACACTAAATGTGCCACTTTTTTTTTTTTAACTTTAAAACATTTACTTTAAAACATTTGTGGAATATAACAAACAGTTAATATTTAACCTTCAGAATTTTATAATAGCATTTGACTGATAAAAAGGGTAACATTTACTTCTATTGTTCTCCGACGCCGATATCTTCCAGTTAGGCTTATTCAGATGGCCATCAACATGCCATCCAGAGAGCACTTCAAACCATATAATTTCCTAGCTGTCTTCCCTATCCAGTGGCAAGTAGATCTCAGGGAGGGGCCTATGTCTCACCAGCTGAGCTCAAAATTGAGTAATGGTGAGTAATAAGGTTTTGAGCTTGGCTAGTGAGACATAAGCCTGATCTATACACACAATATCAACTAAAGGGTGTTATTATAGACCAATTTAGTTACACTAGTGCAAACCACTACTCTTACAATCAGTTTAAACCTGGCATACGTTGGGGTTTACCTTGTGTTGGTGAATTTGCAGTTGCAAGCTAAACATCTACATAACCAGTTTTATACAGATTGGGGAGTGTCCAAATAGGGGTTTACACAGTTTTAACCTAGTTTTTTTTTTTAAAAACAGTTTTTAGTTAAATCAGTGTAACTTATGAGCACAGACAAGGCCCTATACAGATTGTTTCTTTCCAAACAGAAACACACAATTTCAGGTAAGTAATTTGTCCTCACTCCAAGAGGCAAGTATTGTTGGAGTGTTCCACTTGTGAAGATTAAAATTTTACAGTGAGCCATGAAATGCATATAGTTAAGCTAGACTCAGAACAGAGAGTAACTGAAGGAATAGAGTAATAACCTTTATAATAATTTCTTTGATGAGACATAAAACTAAGAAAGACGACAATTTATTTAAAACTTACAGGTATCCCACAAAACTAAGATTCCATTACCTCTATTGGCTCCCTGTTTTATACTTACAACAAATTCTGCACATCCTCATCATTATTGCCTTTTGAAACTCTGCCCCTCCCTTTTTTCCATTTTAAATGAGTTCTGCCCCTTCCACTCCAACAATGCTATGCAAGATCACCAGTTTGTCTATGTCCCCAAAAAGCATATTCACACTTCTTCCATGCTGCTTCTTAAATGTGGAATGATCTTCTTGAGTTAGCCCATAAACTCCTCCTCAAAACACACTTCTACCATGCTGCTGACGGGAAAATGCAAATTCATAATGGCTAAGCAGAGGGCCAGCAGGGATCAGAGATATTGATTTTGTTTATACCTTATGATTAAACAAAAACAAAGCAATTCATCATCATCTAATTGAGCACAGCTAGCCAAAGCAACCATGTATTTTAGGGAATGGAATGAAGACATAATGATTGTTACATCAGCTTGTTGCATCTTGTCTTAAATTAAGTAGTAAGAACCAACACCTATCCTAAAGTCTAGTAACGTGTTAGTACATTGCCTAGCACATCAGTGCCCCCAATCCAGAATGAGACTTTTGGATGCTGCCATAACAAATAAAAGCCAGAATTCTGTAACATGGAATTAAAACAGGACATTCCATCTATAGGAGGCAGCATGAAAGAAGCTTGTCAGAGAATCGGGGAAAATCTACACTAAAACCTCAAATCGCTGACTTGGTGGTGATAAAAATTTAGATGAAAAAGGTTCCACGCAGTTGGCCTTATAGCTCTCATGGAACGAGGTGACCAGTTGGTTAGCATCACTGACAGGCTCTAACTACCTCTTGTTCTGTGGTGGCACTGTTTCAAGAGTCAACTGACAAACAAGTAATGTACGACTGGCTAGCATCAATTTAGCCAAGGAAGATGATGGGTTTTTATAAGTCTGCCTCAGAGAAAACCCAGGGTGCATTTTTATGTCCAATTTACAGAGCACGAAGAAACCTACACTGGTAGGTGGGTTCAATGGTGGTTAGGATCAAGTTTTACAGTGAGTCCTCCTACCTCCTTATCCTGTTGGGAGTATAAGATACAACTTTCAGAATTAAAGTTATATTTTGTACCCCAACTGAATGCTGCTCAACTGTCCACATTTCTAGCATGCCATGTAAATCCAAGATCTCTGGACTAATCATTGGACATGAAACCCTTCTTGGTGAGCTGCTCAACTGAGGTTAAGCATACCGGAATTAACAGAACCTGTATCTGAAGAGCTTGTAAAGTTGTCTTTTCATACCCATGAATGGCTCAAAGGAACTGCTGAAACAGTCAGCCCCAAAACTCGTGCCTTTGTTCTAACTAGAATTTTACTCTGCCCAAGTCAATAATCCTCTCTTTGGAAGGCCCTAATAATTGGAACTTGTTAGTGTCCAAAATCATCTTGGTTGTAACATACTTTGCGAGGAAGGAACAGATCTAACAGACCGAAATGTTCAATGAGAAAATTTCATGAGTGGTTCCCAAATCAAGAAGGAAATGTAATCCTTTGTGAACTGAGACAATCAAGATGAACCTTTGCTACACCTCAGCAAAAGATTTACACTCTTCTCCATGCAGTATGAGGGTTCAAACACTTTTTCTTCCTCCAATTTTTGCAGGCGCACTGACCCTGTGACCCAGGGACCTCTAGTGCCAAATGGCAGAGGGCACAGGGAGTGCTTAGTTTTAAAGGGATCCCCTGCATTGGATATATGCATAATACTTCACTATGAATGGCATCTACCAAGAGCCCACTGGCATCATAATCATTGCAAAATGTATGAACAGATAATGTCTAAGGAATTATGTATCTGTACTGAAAATTATGTTCCTAAGGTATATGAGATAAGGCAGGTCACCAGAAGGTGATAAACATGCTCCTTTCAGGTAGTAGGGAGAAGATTCTCATCTCTCCTCTGTCTGGTCACACATGTATTGTACACTTCACAACAGAGGCCTATCTGCAGTCTGAGCCAAATGCCAAACAAGAGATTGTGAAGTTGACAAGAAAGAGGCAAACAGGAAAAAGCAATTAGCAGCGGGACTTCCTGTTTATGAGTAACAGCAATGTTTTAGGGGAGTATTGCTGGGGGTACTGGGAGACGCCCTAGAGCTTTTCCACTGAGGGAAGCAGACAGCATGACTTGCCTCATGAATGAAAGATTACAGCCAACCTGGCTGTAAAATGCTGGAAGGACTTTGGGGGTAACCATTAGTTACATAAGTCTAGGTTTTAGAATGCATGTTATGATTTTATTTTATATGCAACCATTTATTTCCAATATTTCTACCTGCCACCATTTGGATCTCTTTCCTTTGTTAAATGAACTTTTAAACTTATACTTTAACCTTATTTAAGTGCTACAAGATAAGCAGAGCGATGAGCTCAGTGGTAACTGGCAAGCTGGGGAGTACTGCTTCTTTGGGAGCAGTGAATCTGTAACTACTGTAAGTGTTCAGTGGAACAGGGACTGGACACTCCAATGGGACACTCGGAGGGCTCAGGGGTTGAAGTGTGCCCATCACTAGCCTGCAGAGAAACATTAGAGCCTGCATAGGCTGAGAGGGAAGTGTTTGTGTTGCCTGTGGTCAATGGAGCCAAGAGCTGACCCACAACAGACACAAACAAGGCTTCCTCATGCTAAGAGCTGGCGGTAGCAGGGTGCCTCACAAACCTAGGCAGACCCAGGAAGGACCACCGACCCTTAAGTGAGATTAGGACAGACACCGTGACCTTAGTTGCCTTTACTGGCTACAGTAAGTTTTGTTTCCAGTCCTGCTGGATCTGATCAGACTGAGTATGCCAGTTCTGATGACTAACCCCCCTTTTAGTCCTATTACTATGGTGGTGTTAGTGGACCATCTTCACCTTGAAAGGGCCCTGGTAATGTGTGTTACCTACTTATGTTTAACAATCTGTTCCACCTAGTATTTAGCTGTGACACTTTGAATACTTTTCCCAGACCTGAAGAACTGCTATGTGTAAGCTTCAAAGGTGGTCTCTCTTACCAACAGAATTTGGTCCAATAAAAGATATTACCTCACCCACCTTGTCAACTCAAAACTAGGGCAGTTCATCCCTGCCCAATCTCTCATTTTTGTTTCATCGTACCTCCAGCAACTACAATCTTCTAGCCCCTGGCTTCACGTACTCAACAAGCAAATAATCTTATAGTGTAGGAATTTTTTTTAAAATAGTCTCTAGTGGTCTCTTGATGGATCTTAACATGCAGTCTCACTACTTTTTTGTGTGTGGAAATCTCAGCCTTGTGGTTCTGACATACTTCTAGTGACGAGGTAGAATTTCTCTACTGTTAAAGGGTTTGCTGGCTTTCTGTACTGCAAGTTTGACTGGTGAGCAATTTCTCCCCAACAAACTATCATGGGGTTTGTGAACCCCCCTTACCTCACCCCTCAAGATAAACTTGGATTCCTCCCAACACTACATCAGTAGGCCACACAACCCAGGAAGAGTTGTCATATTTGACTTTGGAGGAAGTTTATAAAAATACAAAAAAGTGATACTGGACGGGGGAAAAAAAAAAATCTACGTGACTACTTAGCTTTAAATGTTACAACAGAAATAATAACAGTGCTTAATATTTACAAAATAGCTAATTAACAACTATCCCAATTTTAAAGATGAAATGAAAACACAGAAAGGTTAAGTGACTTGCTAAAGGTCGCCAAGTAAGTCACTGATAGAGCTGGAAACAGAACCTTTGTTTCCTGACCGCAAATCTTGTGTTCTTGAGCCAAGAGCAGACGAAAGAAAAATACAACCTCTAAAACTTACCTTTTGCCTGTCAGTATTACCATTTACTTTGGTAAATTTATGACATTCCTTCATGCAGGTATGATTCTTACAATCAAGCAGCCGTCCACAAAATCTTTTACATGAGTAGGGGCCCGCAGAGTGACATGGTAAAGGACTCGCCTAAAAGGTTAAAAAAACCCAACGTATGGCATTAGTACCACGATAGAGAACTTCTGGTGCTTCTGAATGTCTGACAAATAACCTTAATTAACACAGTAAAATGAAAAGTTCAATTAAGTTTATGTACTTGATTTTATATTATACCTAAGTAAATAAAAAAACTAACAAGCTTGCTTTCTGAAAACAGCTGCTGAATATCTGGAAAACAGACTATCAGTTGCAGACTTTCAGTGTGTTTTAGCAATACTTTGCGCATCTATTGGGCCTTTTGCTAGAGACTTTCTAAGTGCTTTACAACTGTTAAAGAATTAAGCCTCACAATAACCCCATGGAGACACTATGTATAGTGAGCTCACTCAAAGTCCATTCTAGTTCTAGAATTAAGCTCCAGAATCTCCCTACACATAGGATATATCATCGGATACATCATCTCTAAAACCAGAACTTTAAGCATATCCACTGTAACTCCACAGAGAAACAGAATGCAGAAAGGTGTCCAACATCAAAAAGCATGTCAGTGTCAGAACTAGAATTTAAACTTATTCACTCCCAGTTCCCCTCCTTTAACTAATGCACCATGTTCACATTCAAAATTGTTTGTGATGCTGTCACCCATCCATTAGGAATTGAAAATTGATAATTTCACAGAGCACTGAATACAAATTTTGTCAGACTAGGATAACTTTCAGTAACTACTTACATTTTGGCTAGACTCCAACTGAGAAGTTAGGAGACTAAAGGCTCCATATTGTTACCTATACACTGACACTTCCAAATATTTTGTGGGCCTTATGCAAAGTTCTGCCCCTGCCCCATATAACTGGGCTCTCCCTCCAACTCTCACATACACCTAATTTCTATAATAATTCATTTTTGTGGCTGTGTGGACTTGGTGACAGCCCTTTCAGGGGCTGGGAAGACAGAAGATGGAACTGAAGTAGGATATCCTCAACAGGGAATCTGAGAAGTGTTCTGGATGGCAGGTTGGTTATATGATTGTGACATGGGACATGTGGAAGGCTGTCATTGCCAAATTACTCCACTTCTCCACAGTATCATGTGGAAATTGAAGCTATCTATGCTGGCTGAAGCGTGAGCCATCTTCCCAAATACCTAGAAGTATGTGGCTCTTTGGGGTAAAAGAATTACACTTTAATATTTTAAGTTGCTTCCTTTTCTTCTCAGGTTTCACTTCCACTTCCTGACTTCAGGCAGGTATTAGTCATTCTGCTGTGAATGTCAGTGACAGATCAAAAGAGCATCTTAAAGAAAACATTATAGTGTTCCAGCAGCAGGAGACTAAACTAGAATGACTAATATAATTAATCTCACTATCATTATCAGCACAAGAAATCCATAGCTTCAAGGAGGCTGATGGGGTGGAGATAATAGGAAAAAAGTTGATGAGAGTGGAAGGTCACTTTTAGAAACTGATTAGGAACAAGTAAATATAGCCTCACCATTTCCCAATACAGATCTACCAGAAGGAGACTGCAGAGGGACAGAGCTAAAAGAGGAAGTACAAAACCTTCTAAATTTGAGCAGTTCATCCCAGTCTTTTCTGCATGAAAAGTGGTTTTGATATCAGCAACAGAACAACCTAAAGACCTGCCTGCAACTGGAAAGCAGAATTAAAACCAAAGACAAAAATATAGAGGAAGTTTAAATACTAGACATGGAGGATTTAGGAGTGGATGGACTGTTTGTTTTTGGTTTTAAAATTAGTATTTGATTACATTTTAAATTTTAAATAGGTAGCTAGGGAACTAAAACCACAATAACTGTACTTTAGGCTAAGACTGAACCACATCTAAAAAGGAGCTAGCATAAAAGAATGTACACATGCAGAGTCAGATTAATATAATCTATTGCCACAGAATTCAAAAATGAAATTAAAATTATGAGAAAAAACAAATTAGAACAAAATCAGAACATAAAACCACAATGGAAGACACCACCAAAATGGTTGTACAAAAAAAAACCAAAAAACAAACAAACAAACAAAAGCCTGGCTGTTCTTTGCATACAGAGGTCAGAACACGTAGGGATAAAGTGAGAAAGGCTAAAAGTCAAGTAGAGTTGGACCTTGCAAAGGGAATTAAAACCAATAGTAAAAGGTTCTATAGCTATATAAATAAAAGAGAGAGAGAAAGAGAGAAGTGGTACCGCTAAACACTGAGGATGGAGCGGAGGTTAAGGATAATCTAGGCATGGCCCAATATCTAAACAAATACTTTGCCTCAGTCTTTAATGAGGCTAATGAGGAGCTTAGGGATAACGGTAGGATATGGAGGTAGATATTACCATATCCGAGGTAGAAGTGAAACTCGAACAGCTTAATGGGACTAAATCGAGGGGCCCAGATAATCTTCAACCAAGAATATTAAAGGGACTGGCACATGAAATTGCAAGCCCATTAGCAAGAATTTTTAATGAATCTGTAAACTCAGGGGTTGTACCATATGACTGGAGAATTGCTAACATAGTTCATATTTTTAAGAAAGGAAAAAAAATGTGATCTGGGTAACTACAGGCCTGTTAGTTTGACATCTATAGTATGCAAGGTCTTGGAAAATTTTCTGAAGGAGGAAGTAGTTAAGGACATTGAGGTCAATGGTAAATGGGACAAAATACAACATGGTTTTACAAAAGGTAGCTCGTGCCAAACCAACCTGATCTTCTTTGAGAACGTAACAGATTTTTTTAGACAAAGGAAACGCAGTGGATCTAATTTACCTAGATTTCAGTAAGGCGTTTGATACCGTGCCACATGGGGAATTATTAGTTAAATTAGAAAAGATGAGGATCAATATGAAAATTGAAAGTTGGATAAGGAATTGGTTAAAGGGGAGACTACAGCGGGTCATACTAAAAGGTGAACCATCAGGCTGGAGGGAGGTTACCAGTGGAGTTCCTCAGTGATCAGTTTTGGGACCAATCTTTTTATCACTGACCTCAGCACAAAAAGTGGGTGTGTGCCAATAAAGTCTGCGGATGATACAAAGCTGGGAGGTATTGCCAATTTAGAGAAGGACCAGGATATCATACAGGAGGATCTGGATGACCTTGTAAACTGGAGTAATAGTAATAGGATGAAATTTAATAGTGAGAAGTGTAAGGTCATGCATTTAGAGATTAATAAGAATTTTAGTTATAAGCTGGGGACGCATCAATTAGAAGTAACGGAGGAGGAGACTGACCTTGCAGTATTGGTTGATCATAGGATGACTAAGAGCTGCCAGTGTGATATGGCTGTGAAAAAAGCTAATGCGGTCTTGGGATGCATCAGGCGAGGTATTTCCAGTAAAGATAAGATGGTGTTAGTACCGTTCTACAAGGCACTGGTGAGACCTCATCTGGAATACTGTGTGCAGTTCTGGTCTCCCATGTTTAAGAAGGATGAATTCAAACTGCAACAGGTTCAGAGAAGGGCTACTACGATGATCCGAGGAATGGAAAACTTGTCTTATGAAAGGAGACTCAAGGAGCTTGGCTTGTTTAGCCTAACTAAAAGAAGGTTGATGGGAGATATGATTGCTTTCTATATCAGAGGGATAAATACCAGAGAGGGAGAGGAATTATTTAACCTCAGTACCAATGAGGACACAAGAACAAATGGATATAAACTGGCCATTGAAATTAGACGAAGGTTTCTAACCATCAGAGGAGTGAAGTTCTGGAATAGCCTTCCAAGGGAAGCAGTGGGGGCAAAAGACCTATCTGGCTTCAAGATTAAACTTGATAAGTTTATGGAGGAGATGGTATGATGGGATAACATCTTCACAATGGGAAGAGTCTATCTTTGAGTTTATTTTTCATTAAACAAGGTAATTCCATAGAATTATTCATTAAAGATAGCTGCAAATAGCTTCTTAAAGCACTTAAATACTACTCTATCATGTCAGGTTTATCTACATAATTTATTAGATTGTGTTTAGTTGCCGTATATATGTTTGGGGAAGTTTTAGCTTATGTATTTTTCTGTAGTGGGTATTTTAGAAGTCTATGCACCAGCCTTTAGAAGTCACGTAATCAAAGGGGTGCAGTAACATGCAGATTTCAAATACGTTCATGAGGATTTATTTATGGCACACCTTTGGAGTTCATGACAGAGTACAACTTACATGACTTAGTACTATAAATTTATCCCAAAGCCCACAAATATCTCTAATGTGGATGGGGCAGGGGGAGGAAGGATGACACGGTCTTAAAGGGGTCTGTGCTATAAGTAGTGACATACGTAGAACACAATCCTATACAGCAATCAGATATAAAAGGACACACGAATTCCAAAATCCAATGAGTGGGATTGTCCCAGCCATGCAGGAAGGAAGGTAAAATGCAGCAGATGTGATTTAATTAGGTGGCAATTTTATTAACATACCTCACCTGGAAAATACTCTGCAATCGGTTGTACAGCACAGGCCACCATTATTTCCTTAATCATTCCCACCTATTTGGGAGTACTGTTGTCAGCCCTCACCCATCCTAACCTGATCCTTGCCCATTGTTGTGACCATACCACCCCCTCATACGAGGGTAGGAGAAGCAATTGGAAAAGGGGGGTTGTCTCCCTACTGTACCAGACATTAAGAGAACCAAACCCTTTTCCCAGCTTCATTAAGGGATGCCTTTCCCAAAGTCCATTTCCAATGTCAGTTTTATGAGGGAACTGGACTCCTTACCTGCACTGGACTCTTGCTACCTGCTAGGTTGAGACAACTAGACCTAACCTCATTACCTACCCCAGTACAAACAATGGCCAATGTCCCACCTGAGCCAGCCTCTTCCAGTTGCCCTTGGCTTTGGAAACTGTCCCCTTTGCTCTCCCTGCATAGGGGAAACTTAAAGGCAGTAGGGGAAACTTAAAGGAGCCACAAACCCTTTTCATCCTGCTGAGTGGACAAAACCCCACTATACTGAGACTGCAGTGAGTACAGACTCACTGCAATCTTTGAGAAATAGCTTGAAGTGGTTGAAGTAAAACAGAGAGAAAGTCTGAGAAATGGTTGACGTAAAACAGATAGAAAGAAGGTGTGCATACATGATGTTGAAAAGGAGACTACTTACCACAAAGAAGAAATTATTTAGATCAACTATAAAATTACCGAGGTCAGTAAAAATACTGATTTTGGTTGCACACATTAAGTCTATCTGTACAGAAGGCAATTTCTATAAAAAAATTCTAATACTTTGAAGAAAGCACATGTGAAGTGTATACCTTTTATCTAACCTCTGAAACTTTTCCTCCCACTGAAATTATGCACACACAAAACCATAAACCTAAATCTTGACTCTCACATACTTCACAAGTTTCCACAGATAAGCACTAAATGACCAAGGAAAAAAAACACCAATTTCATTTAAATCAAAGGAGACATACCGTACATATCTTTTTCATTCACACTACAGAACAATGTGTGCACAAGATTAGGACAATTGTTTGCCAGTATTAAATATTTACTTAGTCTTTTAAAGACTACATACATCTTTGTAACATTTGACCTTCCATATTACTATACAAGATGGTGTCATTTCTACTTCAACTTTCAAAACTAATTTGTAGATGCACTTACATGATATCTACATCAAGCCAACAGTACATGGTGTACCAAAATGCAGACACTCATTTTATATAAAAACATTCCAGCATAAATTGGAAATATATTGAGGAAAGTTATATGGGAACAATGAACATCTGATTTAAAAACCTCATGGTTATGATTACAACAATTATGTGAATTATGAATCATAATGACCGCTAACAAATAAACTTTACATCTCGATTGTCTAATTTAAAAGGGCTCTAAATTAGAATGTCACTGATATTACAAAAAGGAGTACTTGTGGCATCTTAGAGACTAACAAATTTATTTGAGCATAAGCTTTCGTGAGCTACAGCTCCCTTCATCGGATGCATTCGGAATGCATCCGATGAAGGGAGCTGTAGCTCACGAAAGCTTATGCTCAAATAAATTTGTTAGTCTCTAAGGTGCCACAAGTACTCCTTTTCTTTTTGTGAATATAGACTAACACGGCTGCTACTCTGAAAACTGATATTACAAAAACTTGACATATTAGTGAAAAGTCTGCAATAAGCCTAACAAAACACCTGCTAATACGATCATTAAAATGTAGCTGTAATTTTAAAATTAGTGAAAAATTAATTATAAAAAGTGGTAAATGATTTTTGGATTACTTTTCTAACTGTTAAATGATTGTGAAAATTAATTACATTTTCCTCTAGAGCAGTGGTTCCCAAACTAGGCTTCGTGAAATGTTTCAGGGCGTTCTCAAGAAAAAATTCCCTAACGGCGGACAGAGCTGTCCCTCGGGACCCCGGGGCCAGCAGCCCAGAGCCCCTGGACTTCCAAGAGCTAAGCAGTTCAAAGCCAGCATATCTAACACACAGAGGAGATTTAAACTTCAAGACTCCTTATAAGAAATACAAAGGGAGGTAGATTTTTTTGCTGTTCTTAAAATGAAACAAGCAGCTAGTATCGTTTTTAAAATGATGATGAACAAGTTTAAGCTTCGTTGTAACCTGAGTGGTTTGCCTGGACTGCTCAAGACCTGAATGCTTGTATAGGAGGAATTCTTGATGTGAGTTGGCTTTTTTAAATCCCTACATGCTGTTTCACATCTGATACTCCTTGATGAAACCTAGGAGCCTTGTTGTTTAACAGGCTTATTCAAAATGATACAAGCAACAGAAGTGAGATCTCAGAAGAGTGTTGCCATTTTCATAATATAATAAAGATACTATAATGATAAATAATAATAAATACATAGTGTGTGATCAGGACATCATAAAAACCAATTTTATATTGCCAAGATCACTGCTTTTCTAACTTATACCCAGGTAAAGGAGAAAATCCCTGGAAATGTTCATTTTTAGGAGGGGGTTCGCGAGACTCGGCATTTTAGTGAAAGGGGTTCACGGGTTGTTAAAGTTTAGGAACCACTGCTCTAGAGAAAATCTCTACTACTAGATTACAGAAGGCTGCACCAAATGAAAAGTTAATTCGCTGGATCTCATAGGAGAGTCTCCACCCCACGTCCAATCTTCCCACTCTGCATCTAAATCACACAGTGGCATTACCATTTACTGTCGCATATGCAATGCAAAGGCTCCATCCCTTCTGAGGAATAGTGTAGTGATGGCAGCTACTTGGACAAGAAAATTTGATGGGGGAGAGGAGGAACATTGCTTACATATAAGCCAAACGAAAAAAAGGAGCGAAATATTTAATGAAACAGACAACATGCAATTAAATACACTCACTAGTCCAAGAGCATTTCACCATTATAACCTGTATAAAATGTACAAAAACAACAATAATTTTGTGGATACATTTTAACACGGCTACCCCAATACTTGTATAAAATGGCGTTTCAAAAGCCAAGAACTTAAACTTTGATCAAACAACCTAAAATTCAACTGTTATACATTTTCTAATACAAAATGCTATAATACTGTCCTAATGAACACGACAGCACTCAAATAAAAACACTTCATAGATTTTAATGCAAAAAATACTTTTTGTAAGAACTAATTAATCAAAACAAAATGATGCACACTTCATATTCACTCAAATGGTCATTTCTCTGTGACTCACCTCATGCTGCCCAAGACATTCCCTGCAAAGAAGGGAAAAAAAATATTGAGAGAATTGCGAACAGGTGTACTCCTTAAAGCAATAAGGCATCTGAAGCAATGTCAATGTTTTGCTGTGGGAAATAATCAGTTATAAAACATCAGTTCCACAAATGCATAGAACTTCTGATGCAGCTGTGCTGCTACAAGGTCTCCTCCATAGCCACCCTACGCCGATGGGAGAGAACTCTTCAGTCAACATAATTAAAACACCTCAACAAGCAGCGGCAGCTGTCAACACTGGTGCTTCTGTCAGTGCAACTTATGTCGCTCTCAGGGGTGTTTTTTTCACATCCTTGAGTGATGTAAGTTATACCAACAAAAGTGCTAGTGTAGACATAGCTTAAGTCTGAGAGTTCACATGAATTTAAGGGCATTCCTAGATATGGCCTCAGTTAGTAGGACTGACCAGTACCTTTTAGCAAAGATGCTCCCTAATCCACTTGTTCTAATTCTCCCCTAACACCACCCCCTTTCAGCAACAGTCTCATGGAGGGCAGCTCTACATGGCACCACATCAAGGTCAAAGGGTGGGTCCAACATTCATGCTGCTTTTGGAGCGCAACTACACTGTTAGATCAATGTGTTAACCTCTAATTTTCCATTCTTACTTGGATTCTAATTTATCAGTTTTATAGACAGAATAAAGTATTCCAACTGCAGACTCAGCAAGGCTGTATAAAGAAATGTATTATCTTTATTGCAGAAACTTCTGAATTATTGTTTTCTAAGCATACTCCTTTGAGTCTTTTAATAGGCATTATTTTCCCTATTTCACAATTTTAGAGGCTTTTTCGTAAGTGGTCTACTCCTGTAGAAATTTATTTCTTCCTTCAGATGGTCAAAGATACAAAACAATGGCGGAACCCAGGAGAGCCTAAATCAATCTTCTGCTCAGTTTGTGTGTTGATGGTGCTTACTTTCTACCTTTGGTTGAGTACCAGGTTCAGATCTGCAGTATCTTTTCCAAAGAGTATCCTTCTCATTCCTCTACTGGAACCTCCTATTGAAAGCTTTACTAAATTTCAGGTACAATGACCCCAATCCTCAGATCTGGCTAAAGAACATGGAGGAATTTAGGCTAGAAGGCGGGGGTGGCAATAATTGTTCTGACATACGGCAGCTACCAACAACTCCAAATGGCCTTTCCAGTTGCCACAAAACAGCAAGATACAGGGACACCCCACTGATGCTACTTTCCCCTGGCTACAAGAAAGAGTTGGGAGCACAGGAACCTTCGAGGGGCTCTACATCATTGAGGAATCCCCATATCCTGAGATGATTCACCAGTAGTCAGTTAATCTGGTTTACAGCATCTTTGTCCTTCATATCAGCACAAAATCTGTCCTAGTGCAGGAGGAAAAAGCTGGCCCAGTACGTTCACAATACTTAACTTTCCAGACATTCCTTTTAAACTCTTCATAAAGGCCGATATTAAATTTGTTTTTATCCAGCCCTTTGGCCTCTCACCTATCTAAAGTTGTCAAATAACGATTAACAGAACTACTGACAACTGTTTATGAACATGGTTGTTTTGCTTTATCCTGAAGTGTGCTTTCTACATCTCCAAGCCCCTTTCACCTCAAGTATTGAACAGGCCCAACCCTGATTAACTTTTAAAACCAGATGAGATCATGTATGTTCATCAGACTAATATCAGCTGTTCTTCAAAATATTTTGCATTTAGCCATTGTCTTTTCAAATGCAAGTTTCTCCCAACCTCAAACTATTCATTCCAGGATACCATTAGGAATGTACCATATCTGATTTAAGGAGATGTATATTTTGTGGTAAGGCACTTGACTGGAACATTGACTAAGCAGGGCAGAAATATTAATAATATTACTATTCATATTACATCATAAACAAGAGCTCAGAGACAATTTAACAACATTCTATTTTGAGAATGGTCATTTCCTTATTTAGGTCCCAAAGCTGCAAATGTTTATTCACATGAGTAGTAACAATGAAATCAGTAAGAACACTCACATGATTAAAGTGAAGCACATGCTTACATATTTGCAGTATTTTAGTGAACTCTGAATGCTCAATATCCAACCTTTAGATATCTGTAAATGTCTTCAAGCAAGGCAAAGCATGCGTTCTTCATTCAGAGCTATATACTGTAGCTCACAGAGCGGTCTTTAGCATTTATTTTATTCAGCAGTAATGCAAGGAAACTACAGGCCTGTTTCCTGTAAGACATTGGCTTTAGCATTTAACATCAGGCTAGAAGCCTGTTAACTCTGGCACAGATAAATGGCCTAATGGTCACCTCTCAGTTTTGGGGAACTTGGACTAGAGTGCTTAAGGGGGAAGTTTGTCCATACCACCACCAGCCAACAATAGGAACATGAGCTAACACCAGCTTTTGGATACTGTAGGATGGGAACCTCTGCAGATGTCTGACATATAGGATAATAAATTGAGATCATTAATATACTAACCTATAGGAGAAGGGCACCCCAAAATTAATAGGGTGAGGAAATACAAATAAGGAAGAGGGGAGAAACTCCTACTGAATATGCATCAGACACAGAGGCTTCAGCGTAACATATTATAAAAGTGTATCCCACACTGTGGGCAGGAGGAGAGAGATATCCTTGGGAGGTGCCAGGATGATGGCCACTGGTGGTGATGAGGAAAATACTGACTAACATTTCAGGTTGTTCTGCAAGATCTGGTGCAAGTATATGGATGTTCAGATATACATTCTGTATTATCTCTATCTACCTTGCTAGTTTAGAGTGTTTGTGACTTTGCTAAATGTATGAATAAACTATTGCAAATACAGAAGAGTTCCTAAAGTGAGCGTGTTGTAACTGCACATCGGGGTTCTCAACTAAACAGTAATTTTAATAATACTGGTCCTGATCTTGGGACAAGAACCTGTCAAATCTCAGAGTGATAATTGTGAATTCTTAAGTAATCAATATACAATTCACAGATTGGGCTACAACATACGTCAAATCTGAAATGAAACAAGTGTTCAAGTTACACAACAGCAATAGAATTGACAAAAAAGTAAAATATTAAATAGGAGGATAGGTATTTACTTTCCATGCATGGTTATTCAAAATGACTGGACAGGTGAGTTTTTAAGGAGAAAATGTAGCTAATTTTATTCTTGTTCTCAGCACAAAACTGTACTCTAGAGAAAACTGTCTTACACAGCAGTTTAACACAGAAACGACATCTATATCAACCTCAAATACAGCACTGCTATATTCTTGTGTGTGTATTTAGGGGGCTTATAGCTTTACCTAACTTTAATCAGGCTGAATTTTTCCATGCGGGGTGTCTGCCTCACGTGAAATCTGGGAAATTCAAGGACAGGGCTATGGAAAAAAGGGAAAATATGTTTTGTCCATGCTAAAAAAAATTCTGATATTTTATTTGAAAAGCACTTGCAGACCCATGCTTTAGAGAAGGAATGTGAAATTTTGCAGGGTGTGACCTGTGTTTCATGGATGTGCATTTTGCTGTCCCCATGAAAATCCATCCAAATTTGGCCAAGTCATATACCTCTGAAAATGTGGGGAGGAAAAGAAATTGGAACTAGAAGCCTGGAAAGGGGGACAGGACAGAATCTGGGCCTAGCTAGGCAAGAAGACTGGGGATGAAGAGCGGTGGTGGAAGGTGGTGAGAGGAGACAGATTTGATGAGAACCCTGAAGAGTGGACAGTGGGACTGGCTAGGTGAAGAGAATGGAACTGGAGTGGGAAACAGACAAGACTGGGACAGGGCAGAAGAGGTCACACTGGGGGGACATGGGTAGTGTGCCCTCTACCCCAGCCTGGAAAGGAACCCAACTTTCCTGAGTTTTGTCATTTCTCTGCTATCAGCAAAGGTGTAACAAAAGTGTTTATTCGCCCTCTAGTGCTGGTCCATTTAGATTACTACCTTATGACTATTAATTACTCCAATAGTTCAAGTGCCACGTCTGTGTGGTGGATATAAAAGCTCCAACCCACCTGATGAACCATGCTGGTGTCAGTATGATGCCACGTGATCAGATTTGTTTTCCAGTTTGCTAGGAAATTACACACACAAAATGTCTAAAAGAACATTAAGTTTGCAAAGTCAAGTGCTTAAAAACTAAGAAATGCCAGAATTAAGGTTGCTGGTGCCACCTGAATTTGCCCTCCTTGGGTGTATGCACTATGTAATCGCATACTATTTTTTTCCCACTGTAACCCTGCCTCATTCAGCACACAAAATGGAGCTGCGTTAGGTAAAAAAAAATCATACTTGTTTAGTGAAGGAGGCTGTTGTCTGTAGGACCCTGCTTCATTTGTTCCAGAAACTCGAAAGTGAGTATTGAAAGAGGCAGGAGACTACAGGAAGACAAAGGAGGGTTTCATGGTAAAGGCAGTTAAATGCTGCCCTGGAGAAATGGATTCTATCCTGGCCTCTATCACGTATCTGATTGGTGGTGGGTTGCCAGCGGGGAGAGCCCAAACTCCTACGAAGGAAATCCCAACCTCTGGATCCCTGTGTGTTTTAAGCTTCCCTGGGTCTCAGAAAGTTACAGCACTGTTTCCTTCCTTCATCCCTGTGGCACATTTCCTGCGCACCAATTCTCAGTCTGCTACACCTTACTGAGTAGCCCACCTGCCTTAGGCCCCAGGACCATGCTGGCCCCCCAAGATACCCCAAAAGCTGGAAAATATACTCTCCCAGAATCCCATCAAATACACAAGCCTTCTGGGTTATAGTTTAACTTTCGATAGAGGCATGTTGTAGTTGTGTATATGTTATATGCTTCACGTTTTGCACAAAGACATTTGCTCTTTAATTACTCAGATGAAAAATATATGGATCTTTAAAAAATAAACTCTACGTGCATTTCCCTTCACTGTAGCTCACCCTTTCCTTGGGAGTCCTTTGGGGACCACCTGCATTGGTGGTTCTCCAGTCCCCTTGCCTCTGCCAGAGCCTGCAGTAGCTTCCATCATCCTGAGGTAGTAAAAATGGCTGAAGAGAACCCTGAAGAGAGCAGTTCCTGTATTTTTATAACCTTCCTGTCCCTGTCAGGTGACTCCCAGGATCAGACTCCTCAGGTGATCACAGAACCCTGCCAGATAACTTCCAGACTACATTTCCCACAATAAACCAACTCCTGATGGGGATACAGTGTACTGTTTAGGGATATTCCTTTTCAATGGAAGGGCACTTCAGATTTAATGACCTTCTATTGGCAATCCTATCCCACTATGCTGTTGGAATTTCAGTCCAACATGGAGGTAAACTGATAATAGAGAAGGACAAAGAGGATGTACATTCAAAATTGAGTCAAAAGATACATACAGAAGGTTCATAATTTCACAGAGAATTAGAATGTATCTGTACTATCTTTTACATCATCAGAGCCTCTGCAACGGAGTTCCTATGTGATGTTAGTCAAATCATTTAAACCAGACTTTTCAAAGGTGGTCACTAATTCCCCATTTTGTGGGTAACTGACACAAGATACTGGATTCTAATTTACAGAAGTGCTGGGCATTCAAAGCTGCAAGTGAAGTCAATGGGAGAAGTCCTTTGAGCATGAAGTGCTATATAATGTTACATACTCTGAAAAATAAAGTCTTACGTGTCTCAAATGGGACACCCAAAATTAGTGGATATTTTTGCTCTCTCTGTGCCTCAGTCTCCTATCTGTAAAATGTTCTTTTAACACAGCTTTGTGCATTTGTTTACACAGATTTTAAAATCAGGCACTTATTTTACTCTTCCTATCCATCCCTTAGTGCATCGAGCAGACCATTCTAAGATGCTACCTATTGGCCACCGAAAGAAATTCCCTGCCTTTAGAGATACTATGTTTCCACCAAAAACGTAAGTCAGACATGCTGCATCAATACAAAACCTTGTAAAATTCTGAAGCACAAAAAGTGATGCCTTCAAAAACACATTATATAGCAATGAAAAATCTGATACAATTTCAAAGCACAACTCCTTTTATACTTACGTTAGTAAAGGAATCTGACATGGGGGGCAAGGTAATGCAGTTTGAATAAAAGCTGGCTCAGATGGCTGTTCCCAGGGCCCGGCAGGTTGGTGCTGAGAGCAAAACAAATACATTGCTGTGTTTATATTATTGCATTCTATAAATTGTGGCGACAACTCTGAGTCAACTGTTTAGCTATAAATATCCACAATGCCTGGTAAGATCTTAGTTCTAACAGGTCTATTTTCCCCCAACTGAAGAAATTCTATTACTAGAACTAAGACATGAATGCAGTACATGCCTGGATAATCATTTCATTTTCTGTCATGGCTAAGAATAGGAGACTGAAGGCCAAGTGGCTTTATTATACCACAAGTCATGATTTCATTCCCTTACTGTTTAACCTGAGGACAAGGACAAGTCAAAAATTAATAAAATCATTCTAAATGTTGAACAACAGAGGAAAGGTAAGTAAAATTAACAGTACATTCTCACCTGTTCAAAATACTCTACTCCAGGAGTATGATTACTTTGAAGTTCTTACTATACTTTGCACATGAAGTTTAAGGTCTGAAAGCTTCAACGTAGAGTTTCCTATTTTGAAACATAGTTTCCTATTTTGCTTCCTAATATGATAGTTTAGCAAATACCTGCCAGCTAACCATCAGTTTTAATACAGAGGCAAATAAAAATTAAGTTGACAGCTGATATTAAAAGCAAACAAGATATTAAATAAAATTGTTGACAAAAACTTAAACAACATGGGGTGGGGGGGAGGAAGAGGAAAGAAAAGGAAGACTACATTTACCTGTGGAAACACATGAAGAATCGAGTATCAGTTATGGCCAGGATAAAAAGCAATTAGATTTTAAACAAGGCAAGTAGAAGCAGAACCTTAATTTTTCAATTAAGTATCACGCAGCATATTGATCCCTAAATATTTACTCCTAGTAGCTATACTTTCCAACATAAAATCAGGGACAGAAGTGTTCATTTTCTTGTTAAGCAGAGTGCTAGTACTTAATACATTTCTGGCTATTGTCTTACCAAGCCAGTTTGCTTCACAAGAGCTTCATCGTGGCAAGAAGCAGGACACAAGTGACCGCACTTTAACACTTTCTGGCAGGACTGACGACATGCAGGGCAAGGGCCAAAGTGACAACTGTGTTTCTCTTGGCTGGGGTGATGGCAGGTTGGTGGCCGACTAAAGTAGAAAACCAAGAACAAATACAATATGAAACATGTAACTGCAGTCCCTGGGTATATGCATTAATACAATCACAAAAAATTAGGGAGCACAGTTTACTGTACTTAATTTTAAATAAAACCGATCAGTTATATTTAGCAGTGCTTTGATATGCTTATATAAAGCCACACACACACACACAATGTATTTCACTAACTCAAAATGACCTTAACACATAATGTCTGATTTGCCATACTAGAAAAAACCACTGGTCCATCAAGTCCATTAGCCACTTCAGGGGAAGGTTAAAAAAAATTTTTTTTATACACACACACACGCACGCACGCGTGTGTGTATGTATGTACCTACCCAGTTATAAAGAACTATGTATTAGGGAAATGCCTTCCTTCACGTTATACCTTGAGGAGGATTAAAAATTTACACTGAGCTTAGTAATCATAAAATTATCCAGCAATAATATTTGACTCTGGGCCCCCTGTGGCAGTGAATTCCAAAGGCCAACAAAACACTGCAGGGAAATGCTTCTTCTCACATATGTTCCAAGATGCACTAACCATTGTGGAACATCCATACCAATACAGACAGTCCAGCACATACAGTGTTTTCCAGCTCCACCTATTAGGAAGCAAGAAGGTAAAGAATCTAACAAGACCCCAGTTTGTCCACTATGTTCTTATATGGCCTCAAACCCTGTGGAAGCCAAGCACCTCACAAAAAAACACTGATGATTCATGAGTTCATCCTCACAATGATTGGGAAGAATGATCTCCAATTTATAAATGGGCAACAGACATGGAAGGTCCACAGAAAATGAGATACACGAACTGAATGCAGATTTCAATTGTCACTCAAGTACTCTAATCACCAATCTTCCTCCGCCTTCCACTCCAATTTAGACACTGCCTACTTCTCACATTTTTGCAAACCAGCCTTTTGCTTTCATCGTTTCCCCACCATCTTCTTCTCAAGACAAGCTGCACCCAAGAGACTTCAGCAGCCCCATCACCTCCTCTGCTGCCTACCAACGTAAGCAGCTCTACTGAGATCAGGCTGGCTCAGCTTCCACCTTTGCTTTAAGTGAAAAGTCAAACGTGGCACTTCAGGGACTTCAGCCATTTCTTCTCAGGACAGCCGAATGAGCTATTAACTTGAAAGTGTTATGCTCTTCTTGGGCACTTTCACTAGTGCTTTCTCTCCATCCCTGTAAACCCTCATGAACCATCAAAAATTTAAGATTTTCTGGATAAGAGAGCCATTCAATCAGTTGCCATAGGCAATCGGGGTAGGTCAGCTCAGTATTTTACTTTCATTACTCTTTCAAGCACAGGAATATGAGGTTTTGCAGTTGCTTCCTGAACTTGTGCAAATGAAAGGTTTGGATGGAAGCCTTAGGTCTCCTACCCCCCCACCCCCACAGGAAAGTTTCCATTGCTCAGCTGACCTTTAGGATACTTATCTCCATGTCCCCATCCACCTGGGCCACTGGAATGTTCTCTACCTCGCGACTGACAAACACTACCAGTTTGTCCCTCACTCCTTCAGTCTGTTCTATATAGGTTTTTTACACCATCCTCTTCCCTGTAGCATCTAAGCACTTTCCAGTAGTGCACTATATGACAAGATTAACATCTGTCACATGTGGTTTGTTCTCAATCCTCAGTTTTTCATCTATCCCCCTGGAGCTTCACAAGAACCTGGCAATTCTAGTGGCCAATTTTGATCAGTATAGGATATACTTGTTTCCCCCTCTCAAAGGCATCCTGATCAGAACCCTGTTGAAGCAGTTATGGGACAAGGTTCTGTAGTACCATGCAACCCAGGGCTTCCTAATCAATCAGGACAGTTCACATTTGCTTCTTTCAGGCTCTTCTGATCCTGGACAGTAGAGTGGCAAATGGACACACTTCTCCAGATAGGCTTTAGGGCTCTACTGAAAAGACACAAGACGTGAAATAATCTGGTCAAAACCTCTCTTTTTCTTCTGAACCACGTTGTATCCTGTGGTGAGCTACATCCTGGGTTTATTTTCAGCATCTACAATACTTCCCTCTGGCCAGATGGCATTCTGCCTCTTCCTCCAAAAATCTCCTTTTCCACCAGCTGTCTCTTCCTTCCTTTCTAGATGTTCCAATTTACCCAATAACATGGTGGACCTTTCTTTTGCTACCCTTTTCTAGTTTCTGACTATGGATATCAGTCCGAGGATATGACTTGCACCAGCATTCCCGCACACTCTAGCAGACTTGGTTCCGTCACAGAGACTGATCATCAGCTGACTTGAGTCTCAGACCATCTTAGCCCTTCAGACACAAAAGGTATTGTACTTTCACAAGTACCTTCTGATTCAGCCTGGGAACTAGGCTGAGCAAACAGGGACCAAGTGCACGCTTACTTTCAGAATCCCTCTCCTGGATCTGGGAAAGAGTGTCACTTCTTGTCACTTCAGGCAGTCTATTTGCAGGGGAAAACTGGAAGGGCAGTTCAGCTAACACCAACTGACAATCAGTGAATGACATTTCATTACCCTCAGCTTCAAGCAAATATGCTGCATCCTGGAATTTCAGTGATTGACTGTTACAGAATAAACTGATCTATCTTCCTTGCTCTCTGTACACTCAGGGCCTCACGCAAATATGTTAATCTTTAGCCCAAAGTACTAGGCAAAGAGCCAAGATTCTGCTCCCCACAACCTTACTCCTCCTGCTCCCCTCAGTGCTTAAGGTGGTGAAACAGGACAAAGAAGAGATAATACTGTTAGTCTCTTGGTGAGACAGACACCCCTGGTTTCAGGAGCTGATGAGCCTGTTGGCAGATTGGGTCAACCTTTGAATCACATCAAACTATCATTTTCCCACTCTGCCAAATTCTGCTTTTCCCAGACAGACTTCACTTCCCAGATAAACAGGTTGACATTCTTTGTATCTCATTCACAAGCATTCAGAGAGGTGTAGCAATTATTTTGAGAACGGTCATAAATCCATCACCACCAGACAGCATCTTGCTTGCCCACGAGCAAGTAAAACACCAGGGTCACAAACTGGTCAAAGATCAGTCTGCTAGTCATAGCCACTCCCCAGACTGAGAGTTGAAGACCTCATTTCAAAGGTGTTTAAGAAGCAGTGCAGTCTTCTCTACAAGTGGTAAAGTGCTGTCAATCCAGATCTGTCCATATCTGAAAACTGTTCCTTCAGATGCAGTTCTTCACAGGGTAATAAGTTAAGATCTCTTTCATATGGTAGTGCTATGAAGTTTGCTGTGTGTCAGTGATTGTCCCTACTGCTGGGGTAAAAGAAGAGTGATGTACAAAAGAAGTTACTCATTGGCAATTTCTTGTGTCACTGTCTCTCCCATACTACATCTCACTCTTTTTCCATAAGATGAGATGCTCCCTTATATACTTAAATCTCTTCCCTTCAGTTCTCTAACTCTCCTGCAGAAAGACACTTCCTAAGAAGGCAGGACTGTGACCTTATTTATAGTTTGACAGTATAAATTTTTTATAAACGTTGCCTCTTTGAGGTAGAGCCATGACACTGTATGTCCTGCACTGTTCCATAATGGTAGAAGAGGACTGAAAAAAATAACTGCAAGCAAATAATTTTCCTTTAACATTATTTATTTTAACTTCATAGTGAGACAGTCAAGCTGGATCTTTAACAACTCAATAGAACCATTAAACCATTTAAATATACATGTACTTAATTATTAAAACTGTTTTCCTTGAACAAAGATAGCTGACCAAATTGTTTTCAGGCCTATGCCACACAAAAGCCTATCAAGCTATTAAGCTTTAAAACGAGCACATTCAAATCAATAAAATACATTTTCTATGGATTTCAGTGTTTTCTCCTCTTCCCATACCCAAAGACCACTGATTTCAGTGTACTTTCATATCATATACAGATTTTTTTTTTAAATGCCAGCTCTATTGGCAAATGAAAAGATTTCAGTAGTGCAAGGTATAAGCCACTAAAACCATACTTCAACTGTAAAAATGAGAACAAGGCTTTTACTCCTCAACATCAACAACTCTGACCAATTAAGAAGGAGAATTGTTGAGCTCCAAAGAGATGCAGTCTTCTGAGGACAGAAGAATAAGAGCCAGCCAACTAAAGGGGGAATCAGAGTGCAAAGGACATTGGTGCAATCATCTGGTACAGAGGAGTATAAAAACAATCCTGGGAAGACAATGGTCTTACATACCATAAATCTGACATAATGCATCCCTCACAGAAATAGCAGCAAGTATTTAGATGCATTCAAATCCTTCAAGTCATCCAAAGAACTGGAAATTAATGTGTGCGCATAAGTCTTCTGTACCAACCTGCACAGCTCTTTGCATTTTGGAGGCTTGGTGCTACGTTCTCTGCCACAGGGTACTTTGAGAACAGTTTTACCGCAATTGCACAACACATCTACTGTCTCTGGGCATGGGTAGCAACTACCTAAAACAAATACATGAACAGAGTGATAGTCAAAATATCCCATTGCTTCTAAAATGGTAATCACCACAATTCTGAATTTGGGAACCTTTTTGTACTAATCTGTCTATGCTGCATGGTCTGAAGAAAAAAACCTGATGTTACACTTGCATCTCGATTCAAAGTTTCAAGAACTAATTTGAAGAGACAATTTCAGATGTTTGAAACAAACATTAAGTTTGACTGTTCTATAGTGATATAACTACTATCCAAGAAAGAAAAGTTCAATTTGTAGACTTAAAATGGAAGGCAGTATCATCAATGCAAGACAAGTCATCCTGACCAAATGGCATTTACATAATGCTATTTATATTTCACAGACTCTTATGAATGTGAAGACAGATTATAGCCTTTCATCAATTTCTGAAAGGTCAACAAAGAAAATCAGATTTCTGACATTTATAAGATGCCATTTTGCAACTTTTATCATCTTGACAAAAATGCAAATTTGTTGCTTAACTGCACAGAGGCTGATAAAATGCACCTATCTAATAAGTCTTTCTCCTTTTTAAATGATTCATATTAGGAAATACTAATAAATATTTCAAAATTAAAAAGGTAAAGATCAGAGAAGGTTAAAACATCTTTTTTTAAGACTCTTCCACTCATTTTATTTATCAAATACCAAATGTAAAGTTTTATTGTCTGTGCCACTCCTGACATCAATTGCATAAGAAAGCAGATGCAGAGATGGAAAGATTCAGGTTTTCACCCAATATCTGTAACTCCATTTTCTTGTTAAGTTTATGAAAAAATATGTATAGTTTAAAACCATTAATGGGGATATAACTTTGCGGATAATCCTGGCTGTCTCAATGGTACTGGAGATGCAATATTTCTAGAATCAGGAGTCCTCTCACTGACAACACAAACAAACTGCCCAAAAAGGATATGCAAGTGTCCAGTTTTTATAAAAAATTAAAAGCTCTACGGCAAGACTACACCTCAGACTCTGGATAATGCGTGTACAACTTATTTAAATATTTGCATCAATGGGGACAAATACTAGCATTTCTAGAAAAATGGAAGGGGCAGATATGAGATTTGACACATTTGGGGCTTTCCACATTTTGCATTCCTATGTTTAATACATACTTCAGCCTACTTCCGTCACTTTTCAGCTGACAAATGCACCTTTCCATGAAGAACAGGTGATAGCCATTGTGCATGCAAAAGATTCTGGAACTGCCCTATCAGTTATGCAGCAGCAGAAACGGACACACCCAAGTTAGTGATGAAAGGGACCAGTGCCATTTTCTTTGGGAAGGACATTTTTGCTGTCAACAAAAGAGGGCAGCAAACAGTACCATGCTAATGCATAAAAAGTACTTTGCCAAGGTTTGCAGCATTTTCTCATCTGTCTTGCACTCATTAAAACAGTGGTATTCCTGAGGTCAGTGCTCTTCCCTCTCTCAGTGCACAGAGCATCAAGAGTGTTAACTCTGCAGTTACTCTTGCATTCAGCACCATGATGTTTTTATAATTTAAAAGTGAAAATAAAGTTTACATGGTTTAGGTAGGAAGAACATACCTACATTAGGGAACAGTGTAAAAAAGAAAGAACGAACAAAAAATACTCGAGGAATCACTCCTTGTTTAACAGGTTTCAGAGTAACACCCATGTTAGTCTGTATTCGCAAAAAGAAAAGGAGTACTTGTGGCACCTTAGAGACTAACCAATTTATTTGAGCTTAAGCTTTCGTGAGCTACAGCTCACTTCATCGGATACATACTGTGGAAAGTGTAGAAGATCTTTTTATACACACAAAGCATGAAAAAATACCTCCCCCCACCCCACCCTCCTGCTGGTAATAGCTTATCTAAAGTGATCACTCTCCTTACAATCTGTATGATAATCAAGTTGGGCCATTTCCAGCACAAATGTTTAACACTTGTTTAACACTACCTCTTGTCAGTGCTACAAAACGGACCTGTTTAATAATTTGTTCCAGATCTTTCCAGGTCTCACAGGTCTATAATTCTCCAGGTCCTCTTTGTTCCCCTTTTTAAAGCTTGGTAGTATATTGGCCCTTCTCTAGTTCTCTAGGAACTCATCTGTTCTCCCTGAGTTCTCAACGACAATTGTTAATGGTTCCAAGATTGCTTCAGCTAGTTCCTTAAGTCCTGTAGGATCAATTTTATCAGACTCTGCCAATTTGAATACATCTACCTTACCTAAATATTCTTTAACCTATTATTCCCCCCCTATTTTGACTTGCTTTCCTTTCCCTTTGTTAATGCATATTGTGTTAATTATCTGGTCATATTCACAATTAACCTTTCTTTAGTGAAAACTGAAGCAAAATAGACATCCTGATATTCTTTTACTCTGCAGTTATAAGGTAATGATACTATGAAATAGCTTACACTAGAATAATGTATTTTTGCATTAAAACTTGAAGAACTGATTTTAGACCAAGTTATTTTCAACTGAAAATGTTCTAAACCATTTTAATATCCTTCCCTGCATCCTGAACTAGCAGTTTTCTAACTACATGAATGTTATCTTGTTCCCTTCAAACAAAAATGCATGGTTGTCAGGCAAGACAGGGGGATGAGGTAGATGAGGCTTTCTTCCGGCAGCTCACGGAAGCTACTAGATCGCATGCCCTGATTCTCATGGGTGACTTTAATTTTCCTGATATCTGCTGGGAGAGCAATACAGCGGTGCATAGACAATCCAGGAAGTTTTTGGAAAGCGTAGGGGACAATTTCCTGGCGCAAGTGCTAGAGGAGCCAACTAGGGGGGGCGCTTTTCTTGACCTGCTGCTCACAAACCAGGTAGAATTAGTGGGGGAAGCAAAAGTGGATGGGAATCTGGGAGGCAGTGACCATGAGTTGGTTGAGTTCAGGATCCTGACACAGGGAAGAAAGGTAAGCAGCACGATACAGACCCTGGACTTCAGGAAAGCAGACTTCGACTCCCTCAGGGAACGGATGGCCAGGATCCCCTGGGGGACTAACTTGAAGGGGAAAGGAGTCCAACAGGGATTCCTTGAAATACAGCCAGCTCTCCTGAGGTTACAGGGACAAACCATCCCGATGAGTCGAAAGAATAGTAAATATGGCAGGCGACCAGCTTGGCTTAATGGTGAAATCTTAGCGGATCTTAAACATAAAAAAGAAGCTTACAAGAGGTGGAAGGTTGGACATATGACCAGGGAAGAGTATAAAAATATTGCTCGGGCATGTAGGAATGTTATCAGGAGGGCCAAATCGCACCTGGAGCTGCAGCTAGCCAGAGATGTCAAGAGTAACAAGAAGGGTTTCTTCAGGTATGTTGGCAACAAGAAGAAAGCCAAGGAATGTGTGGGCCCCTTACTGAATGAGGGAGGCAAACTAGTGACAGAGGATGTGGAAAAAGCTAATGTACTCAATGCTTTTTTTGCCTCTGTTTTCACTAACAAGGTCAGCTCCCAGACTGCTACGCTGGGCATCACAAAATGGGGAAGAGATGGCCAGCCCTCTGTGGAGATAGAGGTGGTTAGGGACTATTTAAAAAAGCTGGACGTGCACAAGTCCATGGGGCCGGACGAGTTGCATCCGAGAGTGCTGAAGGAATTGGCGGCTGTGATTGCAGAGCCATTGGCCATTATCTTTGAAAACTCGTGGCGAACCGGGGAAGTCCCGGATGACTGGAAAAAGGCTAAGGTAGTGCCAATCTTTAAAAAAGGGAAGAAGGAGGATCCTGGGAACTACAGGCCAGTCAGCCTCACTTCAGTCCCTGGAAAAATCATGGAGCAGGTCCTCAAAGAATCAATCCTGAAGCACTTGCATGAGAGGAAAGTGATCAGGAACAGCCAGCATGGATTCACCAAGGGAAGGTCATGCCTGACTAATCGCCTTTTATGATGAGATTACTGGTTCTGTGGATGAAGGGAAAGCAGTGGATGTATTGTTTCTTGACTTTAGCAAAGCTTTTGACACGGTCTCCCACAGTATTCTTGTCAGCAAGTTAAAGAAGTATGGGCTGGATGAATGCACTACAAGGTGGGTAGAAAGCTGGCTAGATTGTCGGGCTCAACGGGTAGTGATCAATGGCTCCATATCTAGTTGGCAGCCGGTATCAAGTGGAGTACCCCAAGGGTCGGTCCTGGGGCCGGTTTTGTTCAATATCTTCATAAATGATCTGGAGGATGGTGTGGATTGCACTCTCAGCAAATTTGCGGATGATACTAAACTGGGAGGAGTGGTAGATACGCTGGAGGGGAGGGATAGGATACAGAAAGACCTAGACAAATTGGAGGATTGGGCCAAAAGAAATCTGATGAGGTTCAATAAGGATAAGTGCAGGGTCCTGCAATTAGGACGGAAGAACCCAATGCACAGCTACAGACTAGGGACCGAATGGCTAGGCAGCAGTTCTGCGGAAAAGGACCTAGGGGTGACAGTGGACGAGAAGCTGGATATGAGTCAGCAGTGTGCCCTTGTTGCCAAGAAGGCCAATGGCATTTTGGGATGTATAAGTAGGGGCATAGCGAGCAGATCGAGGGACGTGATCGTTCCCCTCTATTCGACATTGGTGAGGCCTCATCTGGAGTACTGTGTCCAGTTTTGGGCCCCACACTTCAAGAAGGATGTGGATAAATTGGAGAGAGTCCAGCGAAGGGCAACAAAAATGATTAGGGGACTGGAACACATGAGTTATGATGAGAGGCTGAGGGAGCTGGGATTGTTTAGCCAGCAGAAGAGAAGAATGAGGGGGGATTTGATAGCTGCTTTCAACTACCTGAAAGGGGGTTCCAAAGAGGATGGCTCTAGACTGTTCTCAATGGTAGCAGATGACAGAACGAGGAGTAATGGTCTCAAGTTGCAGTGGGGGAGGTTTAGATTGGATATTAGGAAAAACTTTTTCACTAAGAGGGTGGTGAAACACTGGAATGCGTTACCTAGGGAGGTGGTAGAATCTCCTTCCTTAGAGGTTTTTAAGGTCAGGCTTGACAAAGCCCTGGCTGGGATGATTT